CTTCCGAAGTTCCCGCTACTTGTCTCGCGGTATGTTGATAACGAACACATACGAGAATATACTTCGACACTGCCCGCCGATCGGTGATAAGACCATAATACGGGAAGAGAATGTGTCATTTACGCACTTGATGGAAGCAGAAGACAGATAGACAGATGGAATCAACCGCCTCGGGTCACCTTGCATAAGTTGCAGCATGGTTTCCCTGTTTCCAGCGAGAATTTTCAGTTTCTATAAAATCTGATTGTGCTTACCTTCATGTAGAGTTTATACAGACCTACACCTTTCTCGTACTCGGCGGTGGGCCTTGTGTGTGCATTACCATTTAAATATTTAAGGCCCAGTCAGCATGGTAAAAGATATTGAACCTATGAAATTTCGGCGAGGTGCATCTTGGGGTTACAGTGTGGGCTTCTAGCGGCAATACTCCCTAAGAGAATCAAGATGCCTCGCTCAATAATATCATGATGGTGCTCCACATCAGGGCTTGAGATACAGAGAATTTGAGTCACAATATGCCTTAGCAGATCACTCACGCGGTTTCACGAGGGATGATACCTGACGTCCTGCGTCGCCTACGAAGTTGATAGCATGAGAACTTTGCATGCGATGCAGAACATCTGTTAAAGACGGTACCGTACTTACAAAACGCGTCATTGGAAGATGAGCGTGAACCACAGCGAAAGTTATCACACCGCGCAAGGAAAATAAACTTGAAGTAAAGAATTAGGGAGGGGTCAAGTAGATGTGACAAGATCTCTGTGAGCCTACATATATGCATCTATATCATCCGCATTTTCTGTTTCTCGGCTCCAAAGGAATACTATGCACTCACTCACCCTCTCACTCGCGTCCTCCCGAACACCGCCAGCGCCTGCCTCTTCCGTAGCTGTCGACGGTTAAGTGTGCTTCGCCAAGCACGACGGGGAAAGCATGCCAGAGCAGACGGTATGTTTCCAAAAACGTCAGTAAAGCAACAGGTAGTACTATAGGCGGTACCTGTCTCTCCTGAGATATCTGAGCGACAGAGACGAACAGTGCCCCCCCTCGAGTGCGTCGGAACTCAAGCCAACCATCTCCTCGTCAATTTCGGATACGGTCACATGTTAGTTATTTGTCCACTTGCATCAGTGACTGCGCCCCAAGCCGTATTTCGCTGTTGTTCATCCTGCGTTGTCGTCGCATTCGTTGATGAACAAGTCCGATTGTTCGTTCAGCAGTCAGAAGTTCAAACTTGAGGGGGGCCCTTGAACTCGTACCACAACCATGGTCGTTTTTTCCCACGCTTTTTAGCGGGCAAGGTTGAGCTCACAACGCCCAACAGTCCACTAGACTGGCCTCCCCACCAGATACTAGATATCATAATCTCCCCTACAAAATCCACCTAATAAAACAGCTGAAAACCACCCCAGACCCAAGTAAAACTAACAAGAACAGAAACAAAAACAAAACGATAAATGTACACAACACCAAACACCTGACCATAAAACCAAACACCCCAACCACCATTCTGCATGAAATAAAAGAAAACTCACCCCATTAAACTACCCTAAGTAATGACAACACCCTCCAACATGTTTGACTGATAACAACACATTTCAAAATCTACCCACCAATGCCAAGACTTAATATACCACACCTCATCACTGAAGAACCAATATACATGTCAAATCCCCTACCTCAAGCCCAAACAAGAATAAGAAAATGCACCACCAACATAAAACAACTCACTCTAACCTTTACCGCCCACAATAGATCCTTTAAACTGACAACCAAAATGAACTCTCTCCCACAGAAAACATGATAGCCCCTAAAGCACTGCCCATACATGTACAAAAAACAACACCTCACTGTCAACACATGGCCACACAACAATGGCACCACCCTGAAAAACCAATGCCCATGAAAACACCACTAGCCCCATATAAAAGCACCCTACCACTGTCCTGCATGATTTGGGAATCATGCATGGACATGACTACTAGGTAGCCCCCTAAAAGACAAAGTCTGTTAGCTTAGGCATCAGGCTAGTCAACCCATACCTTGGTTTCAAACCTTGGTCATATAGTTCAGTTTCCCCTCTGTGATTCATGAATTTATTATATCTTGAAGAAAAGTCATTTGTGAGATGGGAATCACATAATGACCTAGTTGATAATGTGAAGCAAGAAGGTTAAGGTATTGCCTTGCCTTTGGCTTATTCACTTTGGCTAGAGAAAACCACAGAGAAAAGTTCAAAGCCTAACAAAAACCTATCTAAAAAGCCTGTGTTTTGTGTCTTGTTATTGTATTATTATTTCTGAGTTGTTTTCTCTAGTATTTCCTTGATTTATTTTTCTATTGGGATGCTCTGACTCATCAGATACTTCACAAAATTGTACCTACAGGGTATGATGTCATAATGATGTCATATGGCTCCACAGATACTCCTGCAAGTATTCTGTTGAAAGTTATGATGTCATGATGATGTCATTTGTTCTGGAATGTTCTGCTCCACTTCTGATGTCATTGCTCCGCTTTTTTACTTACATAATATTCCCACACAATATGTATATAAGGAGGGCCCATTCTCCCCCCAAAAAATAGGATCTCCCACTTGCAATCATTTGAATCTCAGTTTGAGCTACTCACTGTGAAGATTGTTGCTTACAAAGAAAGCCCCTTTGAAGTACCAAGTGCAGGGAAAAGACATTCCCTTGAGATTACATAAGTTTCTTACAATAAAAACTTAGTTTATTTGAGACCAGTTTCTCACCTAGTTTCTGATATTAACCAACACAAGCTTTGGTCAATCTGTTCATTTGTGAGACCTCCTTCTCACCTAGTTTCCTGATATTGACCAACATGAGCTTCGGTCAATCTGTTCATTCGTGAGACCAGCTTCTCACCTAGTTATCTGATATTGACCAACACGAACTTTGGTCAATCTGTTCATTTGTGAGACCAGTTTCTCACCACTTTGTGCCTATTTGACCAACCAGTCTTTGGTCAACATATTCATATTTGAGACCGTAGTCTCTACAGAGAATTATCTTAACAAGGAACCACATTCCAGTGTCTAGATGGTTTATCCTAGACAAGTTTATAAGTTGGGATATAACACAAAAGCTCCGGCTAAGTTAATCACATAGATTGGTTTAGTGAGCCTCCCAAGAACTCACATGTTATCTACCACGAAAGAAGAAAAGTCATAGACTGTGTTAATTGAGGACTGGCAAGAAGTCTTATCCTAGTGTAATTGTGGTGTCATTACATTTTACACGCATTTATATAAGACCCTCGGTTATTAAGACACTGCAAACAAAAATCCCCAACCCTCTCATCAGCAATATGAAAGACCAATCCTCTGTCAAAGTGGCCAACATCAGTGCACACCCATCCCCGATGGGAATCTGCCAGCCACTTCCCAGACCATACTGCTCCAGCTCACAATATTTCCCCCCAAATGTCTTGACTGACGAAGGGGAGTCCACAGAATCACTGTCCTTACCACCAACCCCCACCCCCCAACCTGAGGCCCCACCCACAATCCACACCCAAAGACACTAACACCCTCGAAAGACCTGTGACCACACCTGTTACCAATTACACCTCAGAGGACCTCTCCAAATCCATCCATGCTGTCATATCCGCATATCTGGATCTCAGATCTGATCCACATCTTATCTCCAATCCTATCCACATCTTATCTCCCTCCAACATCTCATCATCCAATCTGTCCACTTGTCCAGTCCGGTCCACAATTCATCTGAATCCACAACCAGTGCTCATCTCCTTTCGGTAATCCCCTAACTCCGGTATTTTGGCTATCTGTATATGCGTCCTGCTCCCTGATCCATTACCTATGCTTCATTTCCATTTCATGATTTGTGATCTGTTTCTACTTACCAATAGACTATCCATATGCTTCATACATAGCCTTGGACTCTGCTGATTGATCATTCTGTTAGATACCTATAGTATATAACCTCCTGTAACTCTCTGTAGTGCCTCAGTTCGAATATCATCTTAGTTCTACTCATTCCTGTCCTCCAGACTTGAGTATCTCTACTCTCATCACTCTCCAAGACTTAGGATCAATTCCTATAGTCTATCTGTATCTGCCTCTGTCTCTGACAGTCCATTACTGTTAGTTTCTAGTCTGGACTCGTCCGGATTAGCCCTATGATACCTATCCTGCATCTGGAAGTCATCTGGATCCACTACACTACTTGTCTGACCTTCTGGACACATCAGTCTTGCCTTCCTGAAATAAGGGGCAATACTTGGGCAAGGGGCACAGCACACAAGCTGAGGCCAAAGCCCTTCAGATCCAGTTATCCCTTGAGTACGACCTTAACACATGCCCCCAAGGATGATGAAGATGATGTGATGTCTGATGACCAAACAATTCCAAACCCCTTTACCCCCCCTCCACCACCACCACCTCCACTCCCTCCAAACCTGTCACCTACTCCAAAGAGGACCTTCTTAGAGCGCACCTCACTGTAGCAGAGACAAACTGCTCCATTGTCAAACTTAATGGTGCAAACTCCCTCACAGCAATCCTGCACTTCACCCCTGTCCCACCAGGAGGATTCCCACAAATCTACCTATCCCATGTGGCTCAACTCTTTGACTTCCAATCCTCTAAAGTCATCATGGCATGGCTGAAAGTCCCACACCCAAAACTCCTCATATGAGTTTTCGACTACAATGGGAAAAACCCTTCAGTCAAGGGTCCAATCTTTGTGGAATGTCTCCACAAAGCGATCACAGACACCGCAAACTTCATCCATAGTGATAACCAGGAAGTGAGAGTATCCCCCCCATGCCCAGAAGCTACCATCAAGGAAGAAGAGGACCACCCCCTCAGCTTCCTAGCATACAACCTCTTGAAAGAGATGAAGAAAATCATTCTCTCACAGTGCATATGGTCCTCACCAGAAGTCACCTTCACAGCCCACCAGTTCAGTGTAAACACACTCCCCCTCCTTCTCTTTTGCCTACATGGCTTCTCAATGACCAACACTGAAACTGTCAAAGACGCAGTCTACAAGACCTGGTCTGAAGAAGGTGCACACTGGGAGATAGGTAAAATCCTTGCTGAGAGTGACATCCCCTATGAAGAGAAAGACTCTGCTACCTGGGAGCTCATTAAAATGCTTTGGGTAGAGTGCATCGACTACAAAGTAAGCAGGGGGATACCCCTCCAATGCTACAATGTTTTTGCTGCCAGCCCAACTAGTAACCCTGTGGTATGGACCAAACTCCACCTTTACCTATACTCCCTTACATACCCATCCAAACTTGAAGGAATGGGCATGGCAATAGGCTTCTCTGCTTGTTCCATATGCCACTCAATCACCCATCCTCACGGCCTATGCCCTTTCCCAGAGATACCACTCTGGAATGGCCTGAAGCACCACAACCCCAAGACCACAACCAATAACCAGAGGGGAAGAGGATGAGGAAGGAAGACCTTCTCCTAAAGGATGACTCTGCAGACCAGCTCAAACATATTAACCCTGTCATATACAACCCACACACATCATACATAGCTACCCACCCACATAGTTTGTAGACCTGCTACCCATGTAACTACGAACTTTGAATATCATCCCCACTCCGACCCATACCAAAATAAGTGAGAAAACAGATCAATAATAACCTACCTCCTGACCATAGGTTATAAACATGATCCTAACAGTCTGCTGAGGTGCATTCTGGACCTTTCTAATCCATAGCCCAAATATACTGACTGCCCAGCAGGACAGGAAAGCTATGGTAGCCTCGATGGCAATTGCCAACAGCAGAGACCTATTTAGGTCAAGGGTTAGCCGCACTGAGAAGCTGAAGCCACCACTGAACAAGATAGGTGACTGGACACTTACCTCCAGAAGCATGAGCATGTACCCACTGTGATTGTCCAGGATATGACAACCCCTGCTTCCTGATGGTCATTTTGGAAGACACTGGTATCTTGACTACCCCCCTTTCAACTTTTGCAAACACACCCCAACCCAGTAATATTCCTGGCCCTGGCTCACACCTCCCGAGAAGGAGAGAGGGTGGGCCTCATACCACTGGGCCACCCCTCAAGGATGCTACATGAGAGTTCAGAAGTGGAAACAATCATACACCCCACCTGGTGATGCACAACCATGCACAATGTAACCACAATATTAGAAACCATGAAATGAGAGAAGAAACACTCTGCACCAATAAGAAAAAGAAAACAAGAGCTAATATCCTCCTTGCCACACTAAACATGAGAGGGCGAGCATCCCCACAACTAGGGAACAGTGATATATCTAAATGGACAACAATACACCATGTCATGAGAGAAAAGAAAATAGGTATTTTATGTGTGCAAGAGATGCACCTGTTACCCAAGCATGAAACACAAATAGAGACACTCTACACATGGAGACTGAAAGTCGTGAACTCAAGAGACCCACATCAACCTGGTAACTCAGCTGGAGTCACAATCATTATCAATAAAGAAATATTCAACCCAAATGAACTAACCATAACTGAAATCATCCCTGGAAGAGTGCTAGTCATCAGAACAAAATGGCATAATGAAAAGTACTTAACTATCACCAACATATATGCCCCCAATAATCACACACAGCACACAGAATTTTGGAATAAGATTGCCAAAACTTGGCAAGAAAAACACTTCCCAATCCAGACTTTGTCATGGGAGACTTTAATATAATGGAAGACACACTGGACTGAGCCCCAGCCCACCTTGAGAATGACCAAGCCCTTGATGCCCTCAGAGACATAAGGTTTAAACTTAATATACAAGACTCCTGGAGAATCAACAATCCATCAGCAAGACTCTTCACTTTTTACAGTAACACAAACACACACTCATGTTTAGACTGCATCTATACCTCACCAAATCACAAACAACATATATATGGATGGGACTCTTGCACCTCAGCAGTCCCAACAGACCATAGGATGGTCCTTGTAAGATTTGCTCCAGCAGAAACACCTTTCTTAGGCAAAGGCTGATGGTCCTGGCCCATGAGCCTGATAAACGATGGTAAACTAATTGAAAAAATTAGTAAAGCCAGTAAAACCACACAAAATAGAATCACACAACAACAACAACTGAGAACAGACTCAGAAAACCCACAAAGAGAATGGGAAGAATTCAAATCCCAAATCCAACAACTCACGAAAGTAATGGCGAAAGAACACCTAAACAAAATAAGAACAAGAACAAGACAACTCGAAGACAACTTAAGGAAAACAGTAGAGAATGATGACTTAGACACAAATGAAATCACAAGGTGACAAAAAGCCTGGATAGAAAGCGAGATCAACCACTTAGAAAATAAAAGATATAAAAAGAAACAACTACACTCACAAGTTGACTGGGCAACAAAAGGTGAGATGATTAGTAAATACTGGTCAAAGATTAACAGCAGTAAAAAACCCAGAGACATAATATACAAACTAAAAATACCTAACCAAAACAGTTTCACCTCCCACTCTGACAAGATGGCAGAAATTGCAAGAAAACATCACAAGAACATACAAAAAGACACTATGTCAGAACAAGAAGCAGAAGAAAGAATCATTGAAATACAACACACAATGAACCAAATCCTGCAATCACAAAATTTCAAAATGAAGACTCACCATTACACAACCCCCTGCGAGAGCACCACATACAAGAAGCTCTATATACCTCAAAATCAGGTAGTGCTGCTGGTATTGATGGAATCCCGTATGAAATCTGGAAAAATCTACATGAAAAACATATATGTGACCAAAAACAAGAGCTACCTAGCTTTAATATAATCAAAACACTCACTTTAGTAATAAATAACATCCAAGAACATGGAGTTGATGAAAAGACAGACTTTGCCCTAGGTTGGATGTGCCCAATATATAAGAAACAAGAACATTCCAAAATAGAAAACTACTGACCTATAACATTGCTAAACACAGATTATAAAATCCTGACAGAAGTATTAGCCATACAACTTGTGAGAGAAATCCACTCACTGATACATGCTGACCAAAGCAGATTCATACCTTGATGCTCCATCTTTGATCCTATCTGCCTAGCAAAGCTCATGATCAAATATGCAGATATTACAGAGGAAAACAGTGTCCTAGTTGCATCAAGAAAAGGTGTATGATAGAATAAGACATGACTACCTGATCATGACCCTTGAAATCTTCCAGATCCCACAACCCTTTGTAAGAACAGTTAAAGCGCTACATAAAAATGCACATACCAAGGTAGCCATAAATGGAGTGCTTGGTGCCCCTTTCCAAGTCACAGGAGGTGTGCAACAGGGAGATCCCCTCTTGTGCCTCCTCTTTGACCTCGCCATTGAGCCTTTAGCATGCACCCTGAGACATACAGTGGCTCAAAAAAGTGTCTCAATGTTTGTGACTTTTCATGTAATTGCTGTATTATGAGCCAGGGCATGAGAATATGACTAAGCCATAAGGAGGTGTGGGAAAGCTCTGCTTCTAAGCTTCACATTTGATCCCTATAGTGTGGGAAGATTATGTCATCAAGTGAAGATGTGGTTAATTTAATTTGGTGACTCATTGAGACACTTTTTTGACTTTTAGTTTGGCCAACATAATCTCTATAATTCTAGTACTTGGTGCTTCCTTCTGTTGCTCTAATTACTTCCACCACTCTTCTATGCATATTATCTATCAATTTGAGGCATTCCTCATCAACAATCTTGCCCCACTCTGCTGCAACTCTCTCCCACAGCTGAAATAGCCCCTATTATTATCCTCAGCTCTTCTAATCTGTACACCAGGCAGATTGCTACCAAAACTGGTCTGAGCAGGGTTACTATCATTAGGATCATAAAAAAGTCATGCCAGATAAGAAAAATATCAAACTAGATTGTCCTTTCAAGCTTACACCATATAACAAAAAATCTCTTGTTCATAATATTCCAACTAGGCAGGCTGCCAATGCTACTCAAGTCACCAAACTTATTAATTACATCATCTACACTGCTCTCTCCACTCAAATAGTCAAGAATACTCCTAAGGCAGCCAATCTTAAAGCTATAAACAGGCAGAAAAAACCTTTCCTGTCTTCAGCTTATAGGAGAAGGAGACCAGCCTTGGCTTTAAAGCCTCAATATTGGATTGTTGAGGACTAGAATAGGGCTACCTGGTCAGATGGCTAGGAATATATGTGATGGAAGGCAGAAGAACTACTAGAAGAAAGAAAAGTCAAGAAAACACTAAAGTATGTAAAGTAGGAAACTTGATGGTATGGTGTTGTATAAGGTGAAATGGAGTAGGAATTCTCTGTGAGGTGGGGGGGAGGATGAATGCAGAGTAGCACATTTCAATTTTGGAAAACTATCTGCTCAGAAGCATGCAAGAATCAAGAATTATTGAATAAGATGTTACCTTCTATCAAGACAATGTCCCTGAGCATACTTCAAGTTGACCATAAAATGGTTTGAAAACTATGGTATCAGTGTGCTATCATAGCAAGTCCAGTCCTCAGACATCAACCCTATTGAACAGCTCTGGTAATTACTCAAGATATCACTTGCAGTCCATCAAGATCCTCAATTGGGGCTATTTCAGCTGTGGGAGAGAGTTGCAGCAGAGTGGGGCAAGATTGTTGATGAGGAATGCCTCAAATTGATAGATAATATGCATAGAAGAGTGGTGGAAGTAATTAGAGCAACAGAAGGAAGCACCAAGTACTAGAATTATAGAGATTATGTTGGCCAAACTAAAAGTCAAAAAAGTGTCTCAATGAGTCACCAAATTAAATTAACCACATCTTCACTTGATGACATAATCTTCCCACACTATAGGGATCAAATGTGAAGCTTAGAAGCAGAGCTTTCCCACACCTCCTTATGGCTTAGTCATATTCTCATGCCCTGGCTCATAATACAGCAATTACATGAAAAGTCACAAACATTGAGACACTTTTTTGAGCCACTGTACAGGGAAATTAAAAGGATACAGCATACCAGGACTTACCAACAAAGTCATAGTGAACCTATATGCCAACAATACAACAATATTCTTGAATGAATCAGACAAATACCATGACCTGGAAGAAATCCTGTCAAAATGGTGCCAGGCATCAGGTGCCAAGTTCAATCTTGAAAAAACTGAAATAATCCCCATCAGATCAAAAACGCACCACAATCACATACTCCAAACACGACAAACCAACCACCATGAACCACCATTACACAATAACATTAAGATAGCCCCAGACAACCACCCTGTTAGATCCCTGGGTGCTTGGATCAGTAACAAGACCGAAGCTTCAACTCCATGGGAACCTATTCTGAACAAAATCAGATTAGCACTAAAGAAATGGGGAAATGGTCACCCAACACTAGATGGTAAGAAACTCATAGTGCAAATGGTTGCATGCAGCATGACCCAGTTCCTGACTAAGGCCCAAGGAATGCCAAAGAACATAGAAACAGCATTAACAAAAATTATACACAACTTTATCTAGGATGATGCATGCACTCCCCCCATCAACCTAGAACAGCTCCATCATCCAAGAGAAGAAGGAGGTATTGGATTACTAGACATCAAATCAAGGAACGAAGCAATTGAAGTAACTTGGGTAAAAATGTACCTTGACCTATCCAAATCGAGGCCAGCATGGGCCTCCATTATGGACTTATTACTGAACACAATCAGATCAGAAAACACTGAATACAATAAAACAAATCCATTCCTTACATCTTGGATCCCCCCAATGAAAGGCCCCAGATTCACCTCATTACCCTGTGAAGCACAAATGATACTGAAAACTGCAAAACAATTCAACATAATTTTCATGCCAATTAAAATATCAAAAGAATTAAAAAAGAACCTCCCATTGTGGTGCCACCTAGGAGCCCCCAAAAACACATACAACAAATCAAAAAACAAATGCCTAATGACCACACATAATTCAGGAAACATTAAACAGCTAATAAAACTAAGGAAACGACTGACACGAATAAGTGAACTTGATCAACACTTCCCAAGAAATACATGCCAAAGAGACAGAAACAAAGGATGTTCTAACCCACATGCATGCGCACAATACACAAATGAAATTCTATACAAAATAGCACCAAAATTCGACACAAAAACAAAGCCAAAAAAAGACAACCTATCACTAACTCACTGAAGAAAGGAAAAAAACCAACAGGCACACAAGAACCAAAACAGAGAAATCCTATTCAACCCAACAGTAACAACCCACTCTGGTCTAGCAGACTGTTTCAGGATCTTCACAGACCCAGCATACACATCACTAACCCCAGCACACCACCTACAGGCACCAACAAGGGGACTCAACCTCCTACAAAATAACCTAACAATTTTCACAGACATATCATGTACAAATAATGGAAAAGATAATACACAGAGTGGATGTGGTATATGGTTCGAAGAAAACCACCCCAAAAACCTTGCATTTAGAATCCCTGGATGAAAACATTCAAATCAAATAGCAGAATTATCAGTGATACTAGTAGCCCTACAACAAGTAGAACCCTACATACCTATAACTTTCATTACAGACTCTAGATACACAATAGAAGGCCTAACCAAATACCTCCCATACTGGGAGGACATGGGATGGACTGATGTAGCAAATAGTGAGATCATCAGAGAAACAGCATACCAACTGCGAAAACAATCAGCACAAACATCCTTTCAATGGGTGAAAGGGCACAATGGCCACCAAGGGAACAAGTGAGCTGATACCTTAGCAAAAGAAGGGGCAAATAAACCAACCCCAGACAAACTTAATCTAAGCATCCCCAATGAATTTAACCTACAAGGAGCAAAATTATCAGCCATAACACAAGCCCTCACCTATAAAGGCATCAGACAAAAGATAAACATGACCCCATGAAGAAAGACTACCAACAATCTAGACATGACCAGATACGCACTTCAAGAACTAACTGGACAATTAGAAATGGATTTCACCATATCGACAAACAGCAGACACAGAGACATACCCAGAAAAACAAGACAGTTCCTATTTAAAGCATTACATGGTGCACATAAAATTGGAGACTACTGGACAAATATACCAACATATGAACATTGCACAAGATGCACCCATTGCAATGCAGATGACAAAACCATGGAGCACATATTGACTGAATGTCCGAGCAACAATAGCTGAATAATCTGGTCTCTTGCCAAAGACACATGGCCAGAGAAATTCGGAGCTTGGCCTAGAATAAGTATAGGCACAATCCTGGGCTGCAGGAGTGTAAATATAAACCCACACAGACAAAACAATGAACCTGAAAACCACAGAAACCAAAAACCACACAAAGGTGCCTCCAGACTCTTAAAAATCTTAATAGCAGAATCAGCATATCTCATCTGGACCACAAGATGTGACAGAACAATAAATGGCACAACACTTACCAAACAAATAATCACAAAGAGATGGTCATCAATAATAAACAAACATTTACAACTAGACAGACTTACAGCAAGGAAAATAAATCACACACTAGTGTTGCCATGAAGCGAACTGAAGCAAATCAAAGTGGAAATTGGACACACTTTGTTAGACTTTGATGTGAACGAAGTTGGTCGAAGTGTGCTTCATTCTACTTCGTGAAGTCAGCAATAGGTGGGAAAACCTGCAGCAGCAATACAGTGGCTCAAAAAACTGTCCACATGTTTTGACATTTTTCACTATCTATGATATTGTGTGAGAATGAACAAATGCCTCAAGGACATGGTTATAACACATTGTAGTATGGCTTCAGGGCTTTCATTTGAGCCCTACACCGTGGGAATCAGTGGAGATATGGTGGAGATACAAGGCTTACAAAATCATGACTCATGTGGACAGTTTTTTGAGCACATATTAAAACTATATAAATCATCATTTATGACACCATAACAATCATGCCACCATTAAATAAATTATAAAGTGGTGTCATTATGTCATTTTAAAACCATATCTAACTATACAAACCAAAAATTTCCATATGTCATGGTTATATTCACCATGAAAGCCACCCCCCCTGCTCAAAGGGATAATATCCTCTCTCTTTCCTATTCTGGCCTCTCTGCTTGTCAAATTTCCTCTAGAACTGGAGTATCCAAGTCCACTGTGGCCAAGTTCATCAAAGAAAGTCACACAGACAAGGAAAACTTCTGTGAAGGGTGTCCATCCAAGCTTACCTCTACTGATAGGAGGGCTATTATTCAACATATCACTACAGGAAAGGCTGATAATGCTGTCCAGGTCACCTATTACATCAATTCCACCATCACATTCCCTGTCTCTTCACACACTGTGAGAAACATTCTCAAGACAGCTCATCTCAGGTCAGTAACAAGGAAGAAAAGGCTTTCCTCTCTGTCACACATATGTAGAGAGGACTAGCACCCTTCTTTTTTCACATGTATACCTTGCCATCTGACCCAATCCTATTTATTGTGGTCTTATATGATCATATAACATGCTTCCAGTCCATGTAATCCAATTCTGATGGGCTAAGGCAAAGGTTAGTCATCTCTGTTTATGTGTGATAGAGAGGAGAGCCTTTTCTTCCTTGTTACTGACCTGAGATGAGCTGTCTTGAGAATGTTTCTCACAGTGTGTGAAGAGACAGGGAATGTGATGGTGGAATTGATGTAATAGGTGACCTGGACAGCATTATCAGCCTTTCCTGTAGTGATATGTTGAATAATAGCCCTCCTATCAGTAGAGGTAAGCTTGGATGGACACCCTTCACAGAAGTTTTCCTTGTCTGTGTGACTTTCTTTGATGAACTTGGCCACAGTGGACTTGGATACTCCAGTTCTAGAGGAAATTTGACAAGCAGAGAGGCCAGAATAGGAAAGAGAGAGGATATTATCCCTTTGAGCAGGGGGGGTGGCTTTCATGGTGAATATAACCATGACATATGGAAATTTTTGGTTTGTATAGTTAGATATGGTTTTAAAATGACATAATGACACCACTTTATAATTTATTTAATGGTGGCATGATTGTTATGGTGTCATAAATGATGATTTATATAGTTTTAATATGTGCTTAAAAAACTGTCCACATGAGTCATGATTTTGTAAGCCTTGTATCTCCACCATATCTCCACTGATTCCCACGGTGTAGGGCTCAAATGAAGGCCCTGAAGCCATACTACAATGTGGTATAACCATGTCCTTGAGGCATTTGTTCATTCTCACACAATATCATAGATAGTGAAAAATGTCAAAACATGTGGACAGTTTTTTGAGCCACTGTAGATCCAAGTCAATCAAACAGTGTAGCTACTAGTTACAGTATAATCTAAGACTACTAAGCTTCCTCATTTTCATTTTCGAGTAGCTGAGTAAATTCATTGAGCTTGCCTGCTGCCACAAGCTCATCTATGGCATTCCTAGACACAGGCCCTGAAATATTATAATCTGTTTCTTCTGCAACCAAGTGTGATGTGAAATCCAGCCGGTCTTGCTTGTAAGAGAACTTGAGAATCTGTAATGCTTTGAGCACTGGTGGTGAGGGGTTAGCACACCGATCTGTGCATGTCTCTTTGCTGGATGAGAAAACTCATTTGGAAGGGACAGATGAAGCCTGCACAGGAAGGACATCCATGGCAATGTGGAAAAGTAGTGGGAATATAAGTTCTTTTTGCTGCAAATAGCTAATTTAATGAATGAACAAAAAAAATGACTAAATAGTACACATACCTCTCAAAAATAAACAATATCAGCTGTGTGTTCAGCCATGGCATCAAGAGCGGCTGCTTCTTCTTAGCACTGCATTTCTCACTCAGCATCTTTCCTGTCTTCCTCTAAATCTCGTCATGTTTGCTCTTCCAGTGTTAATGTTGGAGTTGACTGTCCAAATGACAAGGAAGGACTTAGAGGAAGTGGTGTAGCCAAGTCTGAATGGGTGGCAGAAGATAATGAAGTCATTGAACATCGAACACTGGTGTTGATCTTTGTCAAGCACCTGAATCCAGACATCAATGATTGTGCAGCCGCAGATGTAGGATTGGTTGAGCATGGAAGCTGTAATGTGGACATGCATGGTGTAGGCACTGTTTCCCATTCTAAGTGCATTGCTGTGTGGTACAATGTCATCTGTAGACTAAGCACTAGCACTACTGAAGAGAAGATAGCGAAAATTGAACATACTGCTTCCAATGTCCATTCCTGTGCTTTTCTCACATCATTCACGTCCCAGTGAGCCTTCATCTATTCAAGTTTTAAGCTCAGATTGATAACTATCCAAAGTTCAGTAAAATTTCAATGCACAAAAGGAATCTCAAACCAACTCATTGCAAGAGTGTAGATCTGTGTTTTCCTGCCTTGATGAATGTAGTTAGAAAGCTTGTCAAGGCCAATTTCAATATAGTGGGCAAGTTCCCAAATGGTGCCCTTCAGCTTGGTCCATTTGGTCTGTAGGAGTTCGTATGCAGGAATGGCCATAGATAGGGTTGGAGTATGCTTGCTTGTAAGTAGTTCTGGAGCTGCATGTGGAACTTCGATGATTTGATGAATGTCACAAAGGACATCAATATCTTTCAAGTCCATTGAAAGGTGGGCAATGTCCACATTCTGGATTTCCTGCAGGAATGATTGGATAGCCTATTGAAGGAAGTAAGCATCAAACAAAGAGAGCTAAAGGTGAAGAAAAAATTACTGGATGCAATGTGAGAACACGATCAATCATTTTGAATGTTGATGACCAACAAGTCAAACAATCTTGCAAAAGCCAGAGCACAGGCAATGTCTCCTTATCATCAGGAAGCTTACCCTTCCAATATCCATTGTTGTTCCCTTCTTCAATGACAGCTTAGAGACAACAATGATGCTGCCCTGAGTGTCTGCAAGCATTGACAATACCATGACATTGTCCAACAGGTTCATTTGACAAGGTGTTGGTATATACATGAAGATCTGTCAAGGCAGAAAGATGGGTGGGTGCTTCCAACACAGGTACAACAGGATTTTCCTTCAGTTCTTTGAGAATGGCCTGCACTGCAAGATTCATGACATGGGGAAAACATCTATGAGAGGATCATGAAATTTTAGCTCCCAGTTATCAAAAATCAGTGTTAGATATTACCTTAGATGATTACCAGCATGATCAAAGGGAATACCTCTCATTTCCAGTTCTATCTCAAGCTCCAACATAAATGTATCATTATTGGATGCATTGTCCATTGTAATCTGACCGAACTAGAATCAAGTTTGACTTCATTCAAGATGAGACACTTTGAGCAGTAAAATTTACCTTGATTGTGACCTCAAGCTCATCTGTGATTTTCAAAAACTCTTGACTGAGATTAGCACCACTATGGGGACCCCCAATATAACGAAAAGCAATGAGTTGAGTTGTGTACTCCAGTCTATTCTTCTCACCCTGCATCATAAAGTGGGCAGTAACTGCCATGTAACTATCACAATTTGGGTCACTCCACAGGTCTGTAGTCATCAAGATGTATCCAAGAGCATTCTATATAAGTGGTAAAAAGAATTAATGACAATCTGAATCAAAATCATATGCACATACCTTTAGATCATCTTTGGTCTTGTTATATTCCTTGCAGTATTCATCCAAGACCATCTGTGTTATTTTTGTCTGGTGAGGAAGATCAGTATCATCCATTTTCCCATCACCAAGGTACAGAAGAAGTGCCCAAAACTCCAGGCATTCCAAGACATTGAAACTCTGATCATCAACAGCTACCCATTGCATCAGCAAGTGATGAAACATCTCTATTGAGAACAAATGTTGTTCTCTGCCTATAGAATGATGTGCTCGATGCCTGGTTTTAAGTCCCATGTTCTTGCAAATTTGCTTTCACAGCTGGTAATGCTGGCTATTGAAGTGCTCACAGTAACACAATGTCATCCCATCTCTAAGCTGCCACACCTTCCATTGTGGGTTTTTCTCGTCATCACTACCTCACAATGTTCAAAATTTTAACAACTGATGGAATTTACATAGGACTCACCCACAGAGACGACATGCCACATATTTGCAGTCTGGTTTTGCTGACAATCATGGCTGATCTTCTGGCATACTGTCTGGCCTCTCCTTACTATTCAAGGCCCACAAAAAGTACCAAACATCAGTTGCAACTGCCCTCGACTCCCATGGGTGGCGAGATCCACCTTGATTAACATTTCCAGGCAGAGGGAGGTGTTGTCCATCAGCAGGTGCACTCTCTGGTGCAGGATCAGAGACTGGAGTCACTGGACCAACACCACAAACAGCTGTGGCTTCAGGTTCAGGTTGAGGCTGCACTGCACTTAGATTGGTCTTTTTCTTCTTGTTGCTCTGCCTCTGAGTGTTGTTCTGACCATCTACTTCCTCAACAGGTTTTTTATGTTTGCAGCTGCCACCTTTTTTTTTGCTGTCATTCCCACATTAATGACAGGAGCAGTTGAGTCTTGCAGAACACCATCATGCTGCATCAAGATAGGCTGAGTTGAAGCAAGCTGCAGAGGGCCTGGGCCCCACATATGCTGTAGCATTTTGACATGCTGCATGGGCATCATATACTGGGCATAGGTACCAGGTGTAGGATTGTGCAGTACTGGACCTGGGCCTGGAGCATGCAGAGATGGAGAGAAGTTTCACAAAGTTTCAAAAGAGCCATTTGGTGTTATCAATGGCAAAACTTCTCGACTGTGACTGCCAGAGTTCTCGGCCCTTGGGATGCCTAATGTTGGAGCCTGATGTGAGTATGAAGGAAATTGTGATTGACTACTGGGGAGACAACCTGTTGGATGGTACATGGAGAGTAGATATTTGTTGTGAGACACAGACAGTGAGGTTATTATAATGCATGTGTGCTGTGGCAAACTAGCACAAAAAGTCAATTTTACAGTGGAAGTAACTTAGTGAATGTTCAAGATCATATACAAGAGGCTCATATTGAATGTACTTAGGTGTATAGTGATGTTTTACCAGTGAAATATGAGAGAGACAGGAGGCACATATAGGACTTTAGACTTGTAGTGATTATGATTAATCTATGCAATGACTTTGATTCATCTCTTGAAGTGAACGAAGTGTCACTTCAACCAACTTCAGTACAACAAAGTTAACTGAAGTCACACGTTTTCAAAGTGAAGCAAAGTTACTTCAAAGTCACTTCACTTCAATGGCAACACTATCACACACCATCATTCCTAAAACTGATAACATCCACATGGCATGACATAATCACATCACATGACTCCCTACCAAAAAACTGGGTGATTGCCCTTGAGGTTTTAGTGGGTATTAAGCCACCCAGGCCCTCTTTGAATGAGGCAACCAGGTAGTAAAGAGCCTCACATACCCCATAAAATGGGAGTGCATAAATGCATTTTCTCCTCAGACTGGGATCCTAAGTATCCCACTATAGCGCATATTCATAGGACTAGATTTTGTCAGTTGCTACAAATATACATCACTTGTCTAAAAAAAAAAAAAGAAGTTCAAACTTTGTGCTGCACATGCAAGTCATGTGATCACATTATCTATTTATGGTTACTACATCAGACCTTAAGCTTAAGTTCCCAAATAACCAACCAATCTGCCATGCACAAAGACCAGAGGATCTGCATCATCACCACTGGGAAATTATCGATCTACAAATGTGATTGGAGGATTAGTGTATCTTGCAAGAGCAAGGGAAGCCCATACTGAAGGAGAGCAAGATGGTGCTACATGCATAACCTGGGCTGGGCAGGATCAATCTATGAAGTAGGCAGGTACAGAGGAATGAGATTCCTTACAGCATGAAACAGTCTTTATGCATGACCTTTTTGTTTTCTTTGGTCTGATACTGATGAAATAGCCATCAGCAGAATGTCTAGGACTAATTTTTGAAACTACCTCCCTGGACATCACTTCACATTGACAGTACATCACACTTATCGATGTTGATGTTGACATGGCCATGGCATGACTTGTCAACCTTTGCAGCACCAAACACCACCTATATCAAGGCCCTGTATATTGGTTGTTAATTGATGGCTCTATGACAGTTGCAAAGTGTGGTGGATTTGAAGCAGCCTGAGTGTGCGAGTCAGAAGAATTAATTAATGACAGATGATACAGTACATGAGGCATAATACTGGAAGTCTTGACAATGGACATTACATCAATCCAAGAGGTTGCACACTCATTTCATACATCTGTGTTGTATGGGAATCACTTCTCTGCCCACATCACCGGCCCCATCACCACACCTAGAGTCCATATCTATACCAAAAAAAACCAGTCAACATGTTCTGAAATGTGCATTGAATGACCTTACAATGTTCAGTGCTTTAATAAAAAGCAATGGGTATTCATAAAGTTGCAGAGCAGATTTATTTCCAGGTCTGGGATGAGTGAACAACACCCAAATGGAGTATATTGCTATGGCAAGAGAATTACATGCCAGCAGTGATGGAGAATGAGTGATCCTACATCTGAAAATCCAAAATCCTGAAATGAGCCTTTGAGGTGCCTTCTGGGAGCTATATATGGCCAGTGTCAGCTTGCACACCTTTTTAGTCATTATTGCACCTTAGTTGACTCAGCTCCTTACAATCACAGTTTGTGACTATGAAAAAGTGCGAGAAATAATAGATAATAGATTGTAAAACTACCTAAAGACAGATACTAGATAATCTTGTTGTACTAAGATGAGATTGTAGCTTATCTAGTAGAGATAGATGTGCATAATCTACACTCCCAAGTCTGCCTCTCCACAAGCAATGATGAGATTGCACAAATGTTTGTATCACTCCCTCAACATATCATCAAGCTGTATTTTGGTGATCAATTTTATGATCAAGTCATCAGCATCATAAAACTGTTCAGCGGAAGCATCGATGTTCTCATATGTACCCTTGTGATATGCCTTGAGGGTGTTGTGTACTGTGGCACCTGCGAGGCCAAACACACAGTCAAGTTTTTCTATATTGATGTTGAGATACAGACCTTCTTGCCATATGACATCAACAATCATATTGATGAAGTAGTTGGCCTCAAAAAAACATGTGACTTCAACTCCATCAACCTGTCAGTACAACAATAAGCACTTGAATGGTCTGTATAACAAGAGACTTATGATTTCAATTTTGTGCAGGAACTGCAGTCCGGAAAGGTGAGCTTGAACTGCAATAGCCCTCTCCTCAGGCAGGAGGCATAAGTTAAATGTGCTTTGAATGTTATGCATGGCATACAATTTGAAGAGCCTTCACATATGTGACATTGATGTCACCATTTCTTCCTGCACCTTCAATGTCTCAAATTTCTGGTATGGAACTATGCAAAGATGTGAGTGACATTCTTGATATAGTCATAACTCACTGTCTCTGATAACACTAATTCTCGCATCTTGCAGAGCACTCTCAATGTGGTTGTTTCACTGCTTATGTGTTGATGAAACACCCTCCGTTCACAGCATCATGCAACAGAGAAGTGCTTTTGCTTTCATTTTGATTATCTTGATGTCCACTTTTTTTTATTTTGACCAGGGCTGGAATGGCTGGGGGAGTAGCTACAGGAGTGACCATTGAAGGCGAGGAATTTGGATGGGGGGGAAACTAAAGATAAGGACTCTTCAGAGCTCCTCTGGATGCGAGTCAAACTTGACCCAAGGGGATTGCCACTGAGAAAGGATTCCTCTAAAGAATTGAGGGGAAATGCCAAGAACTAGCTCTCGACAGAGGGCCTGGTGAAGTGCGAGAGTATGGAATGTGACGATAGGCACCAAAGCACACTGGATGCAATAGGTACATGAAAATGCGCACTCAACATGCAAAATGTGCGCTTCATGGCTAGGCTCTAGACCTCAAGGTGAGTGATACTGATCTTTTTCTTGGATTGGTGGGACATATTGGAGATGAGATGATCCCTTTCTGAGCTCAAGTGCGAAAATCAACAAAGATGGTAGTCAATTCTACTATCTGCTGCTGCCCTCAGGATACTAGTAGTAGGGAAGTAAGTAACTAAAATTTACCCAGAGGCATGTAATGCCTCGTAAGCACATTCCCAGGCTTTGGAAGTGAATAGGTAGCAGTAAATATCATAAGTGATGTAACTTAAGTAAAAATAGTGAGGCAATGAGTAATTGCATACCATATGTAACTCTGTGATATGTGTTTGAAGTAAAAATAGATAGAACACGCACCAATGGACCTTGGAGGATGAGGACAGGACATGCAGATGGTTGGCGACAAGGATGTGAAAGTGCGCGAAAACACATTCATAGTGCAGTCAAAGTGCACCAAAGCACATGTTGTTGCAAATACTGCACATGTATCGCACTTATTGGGGGCGTCAGCGCAAAGGCCAAAACACAAAAATATGCCTATTATACAGCTGTAGAGGACAGGCTCTCTACACCATGGACAATTGTATGGCTGGTTATGCTGGCCCAGGTGCTGGTGTGGGAGGAAGATGGTGTTTGATAGTGCATGGTTGACCAATGGAATGCACTGTCTGTAGCTCCTAGTAGAGCACTTAGTATTAGCAGTAAAAGACCAAAAAAAACATACATGTATCACCCCACAGCTAAATTTGCCCTGCTCTACCTCCTGCTCACAGGGCAACATCACACTCACAACCACTGGCCCTGGGCTTGGTGATTGTGGTGCAGCAGCACTTCCAAGGTCCCACCGCATGTGATGTGGCACCCCAGAGCCTCCATATGGGAAGAGGTCATGGTACTGAGGCCCATCATGCTGCTGAGGGTCAGGGTAGTACTCCTGCTGCTGGTTTGGAAAGACGTCTTGTTGTTGAGGTTGCTGTGTGTAGAAGTTGGGTTGTGGAGGATGCTCATAGACATCCTGTTGTTGAGGTTGTTGCAGCTGCTGTGTGTAGAAGTTGGGCTGTGGAGGATGCTCGTTGGGCTACAGGTAATCATGGGGCTGCAGATAATCATAGGGTTGCAGAGGGAAATCATAGGGTTGCAGAGAGAAATCATAGGGTTGCAGAGAGAAATCATAGGGCTGCTGAGGGAAATTGTAGGGTTGCTGATGGAAATTGTTGGGTTGCAGAGGGAGATTGTTGGGTTACAGAGAGTGATGGTCGAGTTGCTGAGGAAAGTAATATGGCAAGGGAGGTTGGAAGTAATCAGGGTCCATGTGTGTAGCCATCAATGCAGAAGATGGACAATGGAGGCCTTCAGGGGTCTCTGGCCAATCTTCAGCAAGGCCCAGTTGGGTTGAGATGTCACAGCCTGATGTGTTGATGTTTGAATTTCTTTTTGGTTGTAGTGGTTCCTGAGAGATAGAGTGAGCATTGTGTGTTTGATACAATTCAAAAAACACTTGCCTTTTTCTTGGACATTCATCTTGCTTGTTAGGACTGTTTTCATGGGGGCATTGGTCATTGATAGCCATCTCGCTATCTGCAATAAATTGACTCACTAGATTGAACTCATGCATAAATGAAGGATGCAACAGGTGTATAAATTGGAAATGATATACATAAAACATACAAATGAGATCGATGACAGGTCATAGGGGCAATAATATAATCAGGGATTCAATTGAATGATGTAAAACAAAGGCTGCACTGTATGTGTGTTGTCAATAAATTAATACATGAGGTAGATTGAATTAGGGTCTCACACTCTTCCTATTCGCTGATAAGGCTCATGCCCCAGTTTCTCATTTGTCTGCTTGATAGATTAGGCTATCATCAGACCCCACATCACTGTGGGTGTCTGAAGGTTCAGTATCACTGCTGTTTTGGAAAGAAGCAGTGCACTTCCCCACATGAGTCAGAAATTGGTTGTACTGCTCATTGGCCACATCATACTGATCCAGTTCCTCCACAAAGACTGCCTCAAGGTAGTCTTTGTTGTCTTGCAAGGCTGGGAGCCCCCAAGCAGTCATAAAATCCCTGAATATCTCCATTTTGGTCTCCACTATCTTGAATTCACCTTCCTGTTCTTGCTGGAGAGATTTGAGGAAGGATTTTTCCCTCCTATTACATTCAAGCTGCCAGGTGGTGTGCATGAGCTGGTGCTGGAGGTCTTCCTTGGTGGCATGCTTCACTTGAACCGCCTTGTAAAAGGAATCATCAGACATAAGGGATAAACCTCTCTAGAGAAGTTCTGTGCCCTATATACTTGATAAATCAGAATATGTTAAATTACAAAAAAAAGCTCCTATCTCATACAAGTCTTGAAGGTTGAGAGCTTTGTATGAGCCATCCAGCATGTGCTTCTTTGCAAACTGGAGCTCATAGGGGGGGGACTGATTAACAATGCATAGCCTGTACCAAGCACGTAATTGTTCACAAAAGTGAGAAAGTCAGTCTTGCTTAGGAGGCTTTACTAAGGAGAGGCTGCGGCTGCAGCTACATTGAGCTAGTTTCCCTCTGGTATAGCAACACCTCGAGCATTCAGAGTCCAAGGCAGAGGTGACACTGGATGATGTCAAAGATTTAGGAGGGGACACCAACTTGGAACCAGACCGAGCAAAGGGAGATAAGGATAGGTCAACACAAGTTGAGCTTGTAGTCTCAGAGTCAGACAGAGGGGGTGTGGACCTCTCAGAGTAAGCATCCATATTAATGCTAGTAACATTAATTTCCTGGCTAATGTATAGATAGGCAATACATACCACAGTTTTCTGGCTAATCTGAGGGGGGTTATACTGTTATAGTGTGATGGGAGTATTGAAGTGCCAACTAGAGGGCGGAGTTTGAAGGACTTAGAGGTTTTTCAGGTGCAGTCTGTCTGTTGAACACTCTGAGTCTATACTGCTGGCATGCAGGTCAACCATCCCACTATATCATCCAGCCCTCAGGGAGGACAATCTGGCCAATTTGTTCTTGATGCCAATTTGTAAGTCTTGTTTCTCAAAGGTACTCACTTGAGCAACCTCTGAATCAACTGGCAGACCATCTTCTGCAAAATGCCCCCAGTGTCTTGTCAACCTGCCCTCCAATAAGGCAGTATTAGAACACCTACAGCAAGGAAATAGTTGCTGGCCTCAAATGCAAGATTGTTGCATTCCTGTCCCACCTGCATTCCTTCGATCTACCTCAGAAGCAGGCAAAGACCATATCTTTGGATGGTACCACCCATCTTCTGGCTATATTTTCAGAAAGGCACCAAACATCCTTGAGGCCATGGAAAACAACCAGTTTGCTTACCAGTGACATCATACTCCTTTTTACCCCTTTCAGGACTAACCAGAGTTTGAACTTGGAAAATTCCTCTGTGAGTGCTTCATGCAAAGTGATATTAACTGATTTCTCAAGCTCAAATGGGTCTGTTTGGTACAAGAATCCTCTATGCACACGCAGGACTCACTTCCAGCTCACAGGTATGCCGAGCTAAACCATTGTTTGGTTCAAAGACCAGCTACTTGCATGGATGGCTTCTATTCCCACCAGACCAAAATGGTGTTCAACAACACTCAAGATCACAGGATACCCAACTGTCCAACCAATACAGCTCATCTGGCACAATGGCTTAGATGTAGTGGCAGATCTCTTTGCTAATCCAATTTTCACCAACCACATGACATATGACCTGCATGTTGTGGTTGATGGTGATGAGCATGAGTACAGTGAATATTTTACAGCGCAACAAGCATTTGAGATTCAGGTAAAATTACATGCACTTATTTGCAGTGGTTGATTGATACTTTGGTACAGGACCAGCTTCCTAAAGGTGCTACCATCATTCCAATAATCATTGCATCTGACAAGATGCCCATGATGCAGCACACTGGAGGGCTCAAAATGCACCCTATCTTTGTCTCAATTGCTAACATTCAGTCTAATGTGCAGATGAGAGCAACAAGTCATGCTTGGCAATGTGTCAGCTTCATGCCTATTCCAAAATTTACTGATGTTCATGCTGACTACCAAACTATCCTAAGTCAATGGCTATTCCATAAGTGTATGGATATTATCTTCACAGATGCTAAGGTTGCAGCCATGGCAGGCAAGTTTATGCCTGATCCTTCTGGCCATGTATGACACAGCTTCACACCTTTGGCTGCTTACACTGCAGATTTACCAGAACAGCAAGCCATAGCATGTGTCTCAAAGGTCACTTCTCCCATTACATTGGCTACATCTCAATCCTTTGGTGACAGCTATCACCATACACCATGCATGAAGGAACACACCCTTTTGGTGATATACAAGATCTGTCAATGCATTGATCAATGGAGGTTGCAAGAGTTTCAGGAGGAAGCCAAGGCTCATTCGCTAAGTGGCGTTCATCAACCATTTTGGCAGAATTGGCGGATCACAGACCCTTCTTGCTTCTTAGCAGGAGAAGTTCTCCATACCTGCCATAAATTCTTCTTTGACCACCCATTCAAGTGGTCCAAAGAACTGATGGGTAAGGATGAGCTAAATGCCCAATTCAAAAGTCATCACAAATGAGTAGGAATGTGTCACTTTTCATCCAGAGTGTGTCAGATGAAGCAAATGACCAGCCAGGAACACTGGGACTTACAGTGGCTCAAAAAACTGTCCGCATGTTTTGACATTTTTCACTATCTATGATATTGTGTGAGAATGAACAAATGCCTCAGGGACATGCTTATACCACATTGTAGTATGGCTTCAGGGCTTTCATTTGAGCCCTACACCGTGGGAATCGGTGGAGATATGGTGGAGACATAAGGCTTATAAAATGATGACTCATGTGGACAGTTTTTGAGTGTATATCAAAACTATATAAATCATTATTTATGACACCACAAAAATCATGCCACTATTATATAAATTATGAAGTGGTGTCATTATGTTATTTTATGACTATATCTAACTATATAAACCAAAATATCTCATGTATCATAGTCATAATCACCATGAAAGCCATCTCCTCTGCTCAAAGAGATAATATCCTCTCTCTGTCTTATGCTGGCCTCTCTGCTCACCAAATTTCCTCTAGAACTGGAGTATGCAAGTCCACTGTGGCCAAGTTTATCAAAGAAAGCCACCCAGACAAGGAAAACTCTTGTGGAGGACATCCATCCAAGCTTACCTCTACTGACAAAAGGGCTATTATCCAACATATCACTACAGGAAAGGCTGATAATGCTGTCCAAGCCACCCATTATATCAATTCCACCATCACTACCCCTGTCTCTTCACAAACTGTGAGGAATGTTCTCAAGGCAGCTCATCTCAAGGCAGTAACAAAGAAGAAAAAGCCTCTTCTCTCCATCAAACATACAGTGGCTCAAAAAACTGTCCACATGTTTTTGCATTTTTTACTATTTACAATATTGTGTGAGAATACATAAAGACCTTAGTGACATGCTGATACCATATTGTAGTGCTGCTTCAGGGCTTTGAATTGAGCACCACATCGTGAGAATCAGAGGAGATATGGTGGAGATACAAGGCTTACAAAATCATGACTCATGTGGACAGTTTTTTGAGCACATATTAAAACTATATAAATCATCATTTATGACACCATAACAATCATGCCACCATTAAACAAATTATAAAGTGGTGTCATTATGTCATTTTAAAATCATATCTAACTATACAAACCAAAAATTTCCATATGTCATGGTTATATTCACCATGAAAGCCACCCCCCCTGCTCAAAGGGATAATATCCTCTCTCTTTCCTATTCTGGCCTCTCTGCTTGTCAAATTTCCTCTAGAACTGGAGTATCCAAGTCCACTGTGGCCAAGTTCATCAAAGAAAGTCACACAGACAAGGAAAACTTCTGTGAAGGGTGTCCATCCAAGCTCACCTCTACTGATAGGAGGGCTATTATTCAACATATCACTACAGGAAAGGCTGATAATGCTATCCAGGTCACCTATTACATCAATTCCACCATCACATTCCCTGTCTCTTCACACACTGTGAGAAACATTCTCAAGACAGCTCATCTCAGGTTAGTAACAAGGAAGAAAAGGCTCTCCTCTCTATCACACATATGCAGAGAGGACTAGCACCCTTCTTTTTTCACATATATACCTTGCCATCTGACCCAATCCTATTTATTGTGGTCTTATATGATCATATAACATGCTTCCAGTCCATGTAATCCAATTCTGATGGGCTAAGGCAAAGGTTAGTCATCTCTGCATATGTGTGATAGAGAGGAGAGCCTTTTCTTCCTTGTTACTAACCTGAGATGAGCTGTCTTGAGAATGTTTCTCACAGTGTGTGAAGAGACAGGGAATGTGATGGTGGAATTGATGTAATAGGTGACCTGGACAGCATTATCAGCCTTTCCTGTAGTGATATGTTGAATAATAGCCCTCCTATCAGTAGAGGTGAGCTTGGATGGACACCCTTCACAGAAGTTTTCCTTGTCTGTGTGACTTTCTTTGATGAACTTGGCCACAGTGGACTTGGATACTCCAGTTCTAGAGGAAATTTGACAAGCAGAGAGGCCAGAATAGGAAAGAGAGAGGATATTATCCCTTTGAGCAGGGGGGGTGGCTTTCATGGTGAATATAACCATGACATATGGAAATTTTTGGTTTGTATAGTTAGATATGATTTTAAAATGACATAATGACACCACTTTATAATTTGTTTAATGGTGGCATGATTGTTATGGTGTCATAAATGATGATTTATATAGTTTTAATATGTGCTCAAAAAACTGTCCACATGAGTCATGATTTTGTAAGCCTTGTATCTCCACCATATCTCCTCTGATTCTCACGATGTGGTGCTCAATTCAAAGCCCTGAAGCAGCACTACAATATGGTATCAGCATGTCACTAAGGTCTTTATGTATTCTCACACAATATTGTAAATAGTAAAAAATGCAAAAACATGTGGACAGTTTTTTGAGCCACTGTAGGCAGAGAAGACTAGCCTTTGCCTTAGCTCATCAACACTGGACTGTAGAGGACTGGAAGCATGTTATATGGTCAGATGAGACCAAAATCAATAGGATTGGGTCAGATGGGAAGGTATATGTATGGAAAAAGAAGGGAGATGGCCTAACAGACAGAGAGGTTAATGGGACTGTCAAGTTTGGAGGAGGTTCTTTAATGGTATGTGGCTGTATGGGATGGAATGGTGTGGGAATGCTTGCTGAGGTTGAGGGGAAGATGAATGCTGAGCAGTATGTGGACATTTTAAATGACCACTTGCTGCCTAGCTTGGCAGAATCAGGGATTGATGAAGAAGATATCATTTTCCAACAGGATAATGATCCCAAGCACACATCCAGAAGAGCTAAGGAATGGTTTGAAGAACATAACATCAATGTTCTTGACTGGCCAGCACAGTCTCCTGATGTCAATGTCATTGAACATCTCTGGGGAACACTCAAGAAAAAGCTTCAAGCCTATGAAAACCCCCCTAAAGGAGTATGGGAGCTTTGGGAGAGAGTAGCAGTGGAATTGGGGAAGATCACAGCTGAGGATTGCCAGAAATTAATTGAGAGTATGCCTAGAAGGATAGAGGCAGTAATTAAAGCCAAGGGAGGTCATACAAAATACTAGAATACCTGGTTACTATTGTAAAATACTTGAGTCAAAAAACTGTCCACATGAGTCACCATTTTGTGAGCCTTGTATCTCCACCATATCTCCACCGATTCCCACGGTGTAGGGCTCAAATGAAAGCCCTGAAGCCATACTACAATGTGGTATAACCATGTCCTTGAGGCATTTGTTCATTCTCACACAATATCATAGATAGTGAAAAATGTCAAAACATGCAGACAGTTTTTTGAGCCACTGTACAATGCACCTTGGTGCCTTCCATTGCTGGGGTCATGCCTCCCCAGTTCATCCACACAATTCATGCTTTGATCAACTTCATTTACAAGGCCCAAAGCCCTGTTTATACAGATGCCTCAATTGACTCCATGGTTGCATCTCTGAAAGAGTTTCATGATCATAAACAAGCGATCCTGGATGCAGGAGCTAGACAAGGCACCAAAGGAATGATCAACAACTTCCTTATCCCAAAGCTTGAGCTTTTACAGAGTTTTGCTGCATTCACTAAGGATATAGGTGTCCTCATCCAATGGACTGCTGATGTCAATGAACACCTTCTCATCACTCATTGCAAGCTTCTGTTTGAGAGGACATCCCACCAGTCATGCACTTTTACAGAGCAAATTGTTGATATTCTCAACCATGAGGAGTCTATGCAGCGATTTCAGTTGTACCTCTTCCTATGGATGCACAACACTCCCCTCACCAATGCCATAGTCACAGAAGAGCAAGAGATCACTGAGACCAACCCTGCTCTTACATGGATTGCCCATGTCACACCTGGTGATCCAAATCAACACTGTTTTGTCAGACCCTGTCCAGTTCAAAACCATTTTCTGAAGGGCATACTGTCTTACACTGCAATGACTGCCTTCCACATTATCATCACTCCTGATTGAGCCAAGATATCTATTAATGAAGTCCAGCAACTCTACACATTGCCAGATCTTGGACGAGCACTGTCTGATTACATCACAAAGGCTTCTAACAGTCAACCATTGTGGAGCTGTGATCATGGTTGTGTGAAGACATGGAATAAATTTCATTTACAGCTGCACTCTATTTTTCACTCACAGCTGATTATGCCCAGTCAAGTTGTCCAAGCTGCTCCACCATCACAAACATTTCCTCTGGGAAACTGTGATGCAGTAATTGTACAGTTAATACATGGTGACCATACCGGTAAGATTTATTTTTACACCTAACTATATGTTGCTCACTGTGGTATACACAGTAAATTTCATTGTGCAAGTGCAGGCTATCTTTCAGCCCATTCCACCTTGCCACATCACACTTCCCAAATACCTTGTGGATCAACCACTCTTGTATGTGCAATATTATGAGGTTGTTGGTTATCCATGCAATCAGCCTGCTATCAGCATGTATACAGTGGCCCGAAAATATCATAACAGGCCTGGCAGTCAGAGGATGAGATTGGGCACAGTTATCCCACTCACAGATGTCACGCATGCGGTAGAGCTTATCCCTATGTATGGTGAAGGAGCTAACTGTAGGGCAAGTGCAGCAACAAGTATGGAGGTGTATGAGCGCTTTTACCTGAACAATTTTTCAGACAAGGAGGTGTATCATGCATTGTGCTCAGACCTGCACTAGTTACATTTTCTGTGATAATGTCAGCTTATGCACTATGTTGTCTGGTTCAACTATGTTATCTCTGAGATCAAATCAAGCTTGCATTCTATCTCCAGCAAGATGTGAAAGATTATCGTTGATCAAAATGTTCAGTTCTCCATCTCTCATAAGTTAAGAATTGCAAAATAAAATAATAACTGTAAAAGCATCTCCACCAATCACATGAGTGCGCTACTGAAGTCGTAAGCGTTCATAAGTGTCCGTAAAGCGCTTAAGCTAAGCGTTCATTTCAGTGGTTTTGCAGATGTACTATCATTCCGGGTAATCTGCAACATGCATGTAATATGCAAAATGTTCAAAACACCTCAACGCACTGCTCAACTCACTTCAAAAAAATTCATGCATATATAGACTACTTATATATGATGTACTGTCCAAGTAGAATGAAAATTTCTTGCATGTTGCAGCTGCGAGGGATGAAATAGTGGTAATTTGTAACCATGCAGGAACATAAATTATCCAGATCCCATAGATCCTGCAGGTATATTCCTGAAGTTATACCTGGAGCACAACAATCACCTCGTCAGGATTACAGAACACAATTTCGATAAAGCTCATCCTGTCATTTTAAGATGCTATAGAGGAAGAATTGACGACATGTGTGAAAATGTGACAGTAGATAGGAGAGTGTGTAACAAATTCAATCTCCTCTACGGCACACTCGGCAAGTGCACAAAGTCTTGCATTGTTGTCTCCTCTTGCATCATTCTCACATCCTCGTTACAATGGCACCAAACCGCAGGCATACTACCAGTCAGAAGAAAGCTGAAGAAGATGTGATTCGCGAAGCCAACTTCACTGCTGCTATTCAGGCTATCAGAGAGGAGAAGACCAAGAACCTTATTCAGGACCATATCACCAGTACACTCACAATAATTACATGAATCACGATACTTGATGATAATATATTGCTGTATTCATTATTTATCAGAGCATTAAGTTTCAAGCTTCCAGTTCGACGACTCAACGCCAACAGATCGAGAGCGCAGTGCGGAGAGTCAAAGTTGACTGTGCCGGTGCTATGCCGAGGTGTGACTCGACGTGACCATATTTTGCAGATTAGCAGTCAGACCCTGAATTTTCTCGGCTTTCATCCGACACCACACCACAAAATCCTAAAAATGAGCAAAAGTAAGATCTATATAGAGGCGGTACGAATCTACAACACTCTAAATTCGTGGAAGATAATATGAAGTGATTGACGAGCTACAAAAGATTTGCTGAAAATGTTGCAGATTACCCGGAATGATAGTAGGGAGTCCGGAACCAAATCAGCGTGATCGTGACAATTATCAATATATTACTGACCCCGCTGCTAATGACATGGGTTCATCAGAATACTCGGGACCTTTCCCGAAAAACTTGAATGCTCCCTCCTGCATAATGTCAAACGCCTCGCCTACGTACAGGGACAATCATAAACCTTCAAGGATTTGATAGAAAATATTGACGTATCTTCGGCTGCGAATATGCCAGCCCAACTCATGCTCATGGTATTGATAGTAGATGCGAGTGGTTTTCTCATGTGGTGCCACTTCCGGAGGACGGCCGAGATTTCATCCCAGTTGCCAAAGTTCTCGATGTGGGCCAGAAGATCGGAGAGGATGACTACGTCATTCAAGGCAACCGTCATTCCACCCACAGTTAGCGGGTGGCGCATATTTAATGAATCACCCAGTGGAAATGCGCCTGCCTTGCTAGATTCTCCCTGCTTTATGGGCGGAAGATAATGATGCGGGACTCGTCGCACACGTGACTTTTCCAGAGCATTGAGAATGGGCGCGCGCACCGATGATGGAAGTTGAGGAACAATGTCGCGCATTATATGCTTCTGCAATACTGATGGTAAGTAGGGACGATCACGACCACACAACAAGGTAGAATTACAAACCTTGAGGTCTGGCGGCTGCTGCTGCTTCAATTCGACCAGCATCCGATATTCGTTGTTTGGGAGCTCAAAAAGGATGACTGGTCCAGCGCCTTTCAGTACAGCCATAGTGGCATACTTGGGCGTCGGCAGCTTCAGGTCTTTCACAATCAGACCTGCCAGGTAACTCTTTTGCAAAGGTTCATATGGCATGTCCCCGAGGACTGCAGTTCTGAACTTGGATAACGAGCCATCCGCAAGAACGATGAGGACAGCAAAGTATGACCCTGGCTGACCGCCCGCTTTGGGAGCGAGAACACCTATTACGCGATGTGTGTCCTTGTCCTCAATGAGACCGGTTACTGTGGTTTCGATCACGTCGATATTTGGCGCCTGCCGTGCGCGGTCGCGCAAAGCCATGATAAATGCTCCGTGGTCGAAAGCTTTCGCGACATGGCCTTCAGGGAATAAAGCGCAAATGCCCTGCTCCCCTCGCAGAACGTGATAACCTAACAAAGACAAAGACACAGAGCCAAGTTCCCCGAGGCATGACTCCAGACCAAGCGTCTTGAGGGCGGTAACACCGCCAGGCTGGAGCATTTCGGCGACGATACGGTCTGGCTTCGACAATGAACGCTCAAGTAGAGCTATCCGCAGAGGAGCGTTGCGCTTATTATATGTCTTTGTGGCAAGGCCATAGGCAAGGGCTGGGCCTGCTATACCGGCACCGACAATGAGTACATCGTAAGAAGAGCCTGAGAGCATGGTGAGATGGTGAATTATGACAGGCGACACTCACCTGATATTATTAGAAAAGAGTCTTGCCACGTAGGTCGTTTATCTTTGGTTGATACTATACCTGCGCCATGCCAATGAATGAAATTCAAAAAGATTCGCACTGGATAACGCACAAATCTTACCTGAATCCTGAAGATCGTTCGACACAGTCTGCTACTCGAATATTGGTATTCTACCCTGAAGTGAGATATGAATGCAGGATTAGAATTATGATTTTGTGACAGCGGGAGTGCAGCACCAACCGTGCCTCAGGCACCTCGGGGAGCACTACTCTCGGTGCCTATTGGGGTCATATGGAATCCTAGGAGTTATGGGCACGAACGGCGGTCCATGCCCTATCATACAATAAGATCACCAACTATGTTTTTGCATATTGAAAGAACTCACACTTTGTCAAAATGTCGGTTTCCTTAAGGCTTGTAGCGTGTGCCACGCAAACTTAGCCTTTGTCACAATCTTCCTGTGAAGCTCGTCCCATATGCATATAAGATCATCGGGCTGTCCTTTGTGTTCAAGTCAAGAACTTCAGTTCCTTCTTCATCCCACGATTCATCGGCAATCCGGTCGTCGCCTCCATCTTCACGACCAGTGACCCGACGGCTACCCTTACATTCACCCCCTTTCCCACCTCTCTTTGCCTTTGTCTCACCCGCTGTCTTCCCTCGGGCTCGTTTTCCAATTTCTGAACAAAAAAAATGACCCCGGACTGAAAGTTGCTAGTAGAACAGCACGGTGAGTACCTATTGAGGGTGTTGATGTGCTGATGAGTGTACTTTGCAGGTTCCAGGGGACTGACTGTTGGTGTGCAGGGGCGAGCTTTTCGAGGTGAGCGGCGCAGCCTAGATGTGACAGATCTACAGCGAAGTGAGGGGTACTGTGGCACAAATTCCCGCCACGTACTGCGGATGCAGCTAGGATGTGTTGTGCGCTGCCGAACTGCAGCTGCGGTACATCATACCCAAATGACGGAGATGACACGGGCTCCATGGTATTGTGCAGGCGAGATTCTTGTGGTGTTTGACTGGATTGCCACTCGTCCGCATTATTAGGTGTGATGCAGTGATCGTGGATGCCGTGTTTGAGTTTGGCGTGTTCATCGCACACACTCGTTCACGCTGCCAGTGAGACCAACCGACCTAGACAGAATGTTCAGATACTCAAGCCATTCAGCACATTACAGGCTCAGTGACGCCTGCGTCGAATAAGCTGGCAGAATAAAATCAAAATTGAGTGGGACTTCTATGTACACGTAATGGGAAACTGGTTTGAGAGACTCATCTTCCACCATCTATTTATAGGATATGCTCTCCAACTTTGAGCACCCCCTTACGAGGCTCACTTCAAGATAAATGGTATGTCTTCCTCCGCGAGCCTCTTGGTATATTTTGTGGTGCCATTATTATTTCGTGTTTTCTTCTCCATGTACAACCATGGACGACTAATTATAAATCAGCACCGAATTCAAATCCAGTGCACACTTGCAAACTTCCAGTGCACCCTAGCGAGCCTCAACGCACACAAGCCTCCAGCACTTCCTCCCGTCCCTCTCAGCACATTCTTACAAGCCTCCAGCATTCCGTCCAGCGCTTCCTCTCGTCCCAGTGCGCCTCCCATGCCTCTAGCACCTGTCTTGTATTACATGTCGAACATCGGTCGATATCAAACGTTATACCATTAGGTCGGGCTCGTCCATATTCCGTCGAGATTGTTCCTGAATCGGGCTCCAACAGCAGGTTGCTAGAAGGCGTTGAGGATATGGCAGGAGGTTGGTTCCGGAAGGAAGCGGCGGTGTGAGAGATGGCGCGAGGCGGCATTGGGAGGCAGCAGAGAGCACATGGATACAGTGGAGGTGTTCAGATTGGGTGTTGTAGGATAGCGGTTCATGCCTGCTATGCAGAGTTAGGCCGAGAGTGCAAGGTTGTTAGTGGGTGGCAGTCACGTTAAAAGAGTTGTACCATTGAGGGCCTGGGGTTCGTGACTCGGTGGAAAGGTGGTGCTTTGGTGGTGAGATATATAATGAACCAGCGTCGACGCAACTAACTGGAGAGTCAGGCCGTCGCAGAGAAAAATGGAGACGACAATTACCCACCTAGCTGGTGGAAGTTGCCGAAGGACAAGCTGCACCTATTGTAATTTCACAAGTTGAGTTATTTTTCAAACAGTTGTGGCCCGCCATCGACACCTTTGACCGAGATCACTGCTTATATGCTATTCTATATGAATAGTATTAGTAGTATTTCAGACTTTCCTAAAAAAGATCAAGAGCGACGTTCGTGTATATCCTTTGCTGCTAAACGTCAATGTTTTAACAGTCATCAAACCCTCAAACTAACGTTACGGGAAGACGCACCAGGATAAAAGTCGAGAATCTGAATCGCTGCCCGCAGCTAGTGACTAGTAAGTATCGAGAAGTGGCCGTGATTGATGGCCTTGCTAAACTGGATGTAATTATCGAACCAATCAAGTCGAGTGCCGCTCTAGTACTAGTACTGAGATCAATCAACCCAGCCCCTGGCCACCGTGATAACAAAATGATTCAAAAGAACATGCGGTGCGCGCGCTTCGAATCTTTTGAATCAGCATCTCGGCAATCACCTGTTTGATATCCATCAATAGGTGATCTCACCATTTCCGAGTCCTTCACCGTGGATTTGTACAACTCGGAACGTAAGTTTAGCGCCTTTCGCACATGATATATAATAGCTCACAATGATCATCCATTTCTCATCCACGAAATGTCTAAAGTTTCCAAGCTCGTGACATCATCCGACGGTTGCGAAATCTTTGCTGAAGGTGCCGGCAACCTCGAGGGTCCAACGATTGTCTTGGTTCATGGCTTAGGATCATCCACAGTCATATTCAACAACCTTTTCAAAGACGATCAGCTACTTTCCAAAGTTTATCTTGTAGGTGAACCATTCTATCTTTCAAACCATATTTTGAAACGTTGCAGGTGAGATATGACATGAGAAGTCATGGCAGGAGCGGCAGACCTGCGAACCAGAGCGATTATTCCTCCCCGAAGTTCGCTGCGGATTTCATGGCTGTGGTGGAGGGATTCAACCGACAAAAGCCTTATTTACTCGGCTGGTGAGTCGATAAACTGCACTCTTTCAGGGCACTGACGATGATTTGCAGGAGTTTGGGAGGTAAGTCAGTCGTGTAGGGGAACATTCCTTCCTCTAACAATATTCGTCTAGGAACTGTTGCGACGGATGTCTGTACCCACTGTCCTGCAGGTTATGTGTCAGGCATCATCTACGTTTCCGCGCTCCCTTACATCGGAGCAATCATGATGGACTTGGGAAAAGAATGCCTTAAGAACCTTCATCCGAGACTGCTTACCCAGGACGCCGCTGATGCGCTGAAAGCGAGGATTGATTTTGTCGATTCCACGATCAATGATCGTAATGCTTCGAACTGGGACGACCGGTTGCTTTGGGTCGGAGCATTCAGTCACCTGAATGCCAATGACGTGTTGAACGCCATGTCACGGCAACAAGATCCGGAGCCCCTTTTGGCTGCGGGGAGGGGAGGATTGAGATTGCTTCATCTATATGGAGATGCTGATCAACAATTGGATAACGCGGTCGCCGAGGCACAAGTGAGCCAGCATTTTATTGACAAGAAAGTTGTTGTCATCAAGGGTGGAGGTCATGCATTATTTTACGAATTCCAAGGCCAGGTTGTCGAGGAAGTTCTAGCATTTGTTACCAAGTAGATTGTGTAACCACCAAAATCTCATGCTGTATTACTTGACACGTCGTACTTATTGCTTGTGATTATACATCTGGACCGGTTATCACAGCATCATCCGACGGCCTCTAGGCACCGGTATAAACGAAGGCAGACATTGTCGTGGCAGAAAAGAATACCGATTCCTTCGTGTGTGGTCGGCGAAGAAACGGTCTAAATTAAAAGCCATCGCGCAGTGAGAATATGTGCGGTGCAACTACTGCTATTATATACAACAGTTGTATTAAGGGGTAAAAGAACAAAACAACAACAACTTGCGGAGATACAGTGTTCCTGACTAGAACATCCAACACGGTGTCCAGGGAGCCGCAGTTGAGAATTTCCGACAGGCCAGGGACTATCACAGTCAGCTCAGAGCTCCGGTCTGCACACATATCGAGAGTTGATCGTCTAGGGGCGTCGCTACTATTCGCCAGGTATAGGTTGTTCAAGTTCTGAGCGGTATGATTCATATCAATATGAGCGGCATTAAATCATGGGAACGTTCTGTGACGATGCTCAAGCGCTCATAAGTCTTCAGGTCCCGACCATATCATAGCGGCCTTGGTCACTACACCTAGCGAGTACTGTAGACGCACCTTTGGACACCCCAACCTGAAGATTGAGGTTAACGAACCTAAAGTGTGACATGGCAAAAAAAAACATAGAGATAACATATTTACAGACGGAAGTAAAGTTCAAAACAACTTTGAGTTCTGTGGAGTTTGTGGGGTGACTGCAAACATTAGTGCCGTCTGCGCTATATATACAGAATGGAACTAGAACAAACCAAGCTGTCATACGTTACACCTTCATTCAATTGGTCACACTTGGCAGAAGTGCCAAGAATTCGGCGCGTCTCTCTATAGCTATAGTACTATTCTCAGATACGTTCAACAAGGTTGTCATATCAGAACAGGAGGATTTTGAGGGAAGGGTGGAGGAAAGAGAGTGACAAGAGATGGATAGGTAGATCGAGAAGAGGGTGAAGATGGATGGAGTGAGCAAGCTCGGCACTGTCATCTTCTATTCTTCGCTGCCTACAAGTGGTTTCAGTTGCAAATAGACTGTTGGTAAGCTACCCCGAACTCGCCGTGTTGTTTCTACTCTGTAACAGTCAAGTAACTCCAGAAATAAAAGTTTTTCCACGTAAAAGCACAGCACCAAGAAGAAGAGTGATCTACACCGAATTCAGTGTTGCTTTCATGTCTTGAACTTTAAAAGTGATACCACGTATGATCGATTCCCGTCGTCGAGTTGAGAATACAAGATAATTTATAAGTTGAAACACCTGGATAGTGATACTGAGACCACTGGCACCTCTTACGACAACGGTGCACGTACATGTGTAGCAATTGCAATTACGATACTTCACACTGCTTCCGAACTAGTAATTTCATCAAGATGCCATAACTGACTTTTCTCAAAAGGCTCGGGTTTACGCCGTTCTATTTGCCGCATGGCTGCCTCGTACTCCATCGGGGGAAAACGCAAACCTATATATGCTGTTTGACAGCCCTCAGGCTATCCACTTGCAAGAATACCCGCGTGATGTCGTCCTCGGGCCCCACCATTGCTCAGACAGAAGGTAAGTCTGGTCGACTTGATTTACTGCATCGCTGCGATTGATGTTCGTTCCAAGTCGTAAACATGGTCCTGCCTCTTGTGGCGATCATTGTCACATCATTCCGCCTGTATTGTCGTGTACGGCGAGGACGTCTGTGGCTCGATGACTTATGGGCAACCTTCGCCATGGTATTCATTCTGGGCCTATTTATTGTCGATTGGTTGTATCTGCAAGCCTACGGTGAGCCTCGTTTTGTTGCGTATGATCCATACCATTTCCTAAAGACGCCCAGATAAATTTCCTCAAGGCTCGAGGGTAGCACTGTATTACATGTATGTTCTCTTATACCATGATGCTTATGAGATATTAAAACTGTTTCGGAACCAGGGTATGCGTATTCTTTTACGCAGTTATCTGGTACGACTCTGGCGGTATGTTAAAGCGGCTCAACTGACATACACGCCTATGATAGGTGTTCCCGGATATCAATTCTGTTAACAATTGTACGACTCACAATCCCAGGAACCCTCAGGAAGGTCCTCACAATCACTAAAGTGATCTTCATCATCGCATGGGCCGTACTTTTTGCACAAGTGTGGTGGACTTGTGAAGCTGAGCCCGGTTGGAAAACACACCCGCTCCCGCAGTGCGATCTCGGCAGAAATGTTGCAATAGCGCAGATCATCAGTGAGGGTCGACAACCCATATCATGCAATGATTTTCTGACTGATATTTCAGCCGACGTCTTCGGAGACACTATTCTTATCTTGGCCCCGATTCGCCTTATTTATAAAGTCAGATTGACGAAGGCGCAGAAAATCAGGATACTCGCGATCTTTTCGGCGTCAGCAATCACCACCGCTGTTAGTCTTGCTCATGCATATTACGTCTTGTCCGATGGAGGGCTAAGGGAGGCGGTGGCTGCTATGGTCGAGGTATAGTACTATCAGCGCTCAGATCCCAAGTATTATTGATCACATTTTAGGTTTCCGTGTCCTTGATTGTCGCGAACTTGAGCGTGGTCGTGACATTCTTCTTGAGCTTGAGCTCAGACGATGATACATACTCGCCAGCACCGTTGAAATTTTCATCTATCGTAACCTTCGGATCACAGCCTAGGAGGCGCCACGTTCACGACCCTCTCGCCACGACTGTGATAGGCGTTGAAACCACCACGATTAAGTTGACCGATCTCCCTGAAACTACCTCCAGTGCGCTGAAAAGTGGCAACACCGACGAGATTTCTGTGAATAACATGGAGGGAAAGCAGAGCGGCGGTGAAATATGGGGAGTATAAAAATGTTGTCTCAAGATTTAGACTACTGGACTTCGGGCGGACCATGTTTTTTTTTTAAATCACTGTCCATTATCCGCGTGGGCGAGGCCCTACATTATGCATTACATACTGTATGTATGCGTACGGTATCATTTATACGTAGGTGTAGGTGTGGTTCGAGTATCTGCTGAGCATGAGTCAAGGCTGTAAGTTTAAGTGAAGCACGACTTAAAGAAGAGTAGCACCGACGGAAGGCGATGGGCGAGGACATCAACAGCGATGGTTTCCACCGGACATGGCCTGAGCGATGTTTATGATGTGTGAAAATCACGCTCATGTGCAGCCTGGGGGCCAAGCGTTCATCAATCGTGGTTCGCATGACGTTCGGCACTATCGGGTTATATTACAACTTCCCACTCATGGGCACTGGTATGCGTGCCGTACGTGTCGCTATAGTACTGGTAGAGCATGACGAACAGCGTTCTGTGGACAGGGTGCAACCGCAGGACAGCGCATTCTGCTCACTGCCAGCGAGGTTGTCACATTCCCATCGGCTTTCCAGTATGAGGTTTAGCACCGTTTTCATATACTTGTAGCGACACGTTTATGCCCGAGTAAGCTTTATTCCACTAAATCATACCTCATTCCTGCAGCGCGGATTGGAAAGTTATAACATCAACGGACCACGAAGATGATGTCATAATAGGGAGAATGGACGGAGAAGAGGGTACCGATGTACTCAATTGACGCTATAGTGACGCATCGATCTTCGCTGCCATGTACATCTGATCAATACAAATATTGATCCGGTTGCGAATATGCAACGTCATCCTACATCATTCAATTTATCCTCCGTTGAACGACAAACATGAGACGCACCGACTACATTAAGTTCTTCTCATGTTGGGAGGAGACATGCAGGGGGCAGTTATTCAAACGGTCATCGTGTGTTTCAAGATTGTGACGTGCAGTGCGTGCGACATTTTTAATCCTAAGATGTTGTACACCGTGAGGCAAGATCATGCATTGTTTTCAGCATGTAAGACAGTCATTGGTATCGGTTGTGATACACACTGAGTGCGAGGAAGGGATATAAACGAGGTGAATAAATAGTCATGCGCTTCATCTTGATTTGTATTTCCCAGATCCCTTAGATCAAAAAGAATACGCGAAGCCAAGACACCATGCAGGACGCCTTGGAACCTGGCCAAGACAATTTGTCAGTTAGCCCTGGATATAATGTGCACCCACTTACACATCTACAATCCCACCTTGCCCCTGCCGTGAGATCTGCACCAAAAGTTCATATATCACCCTAGCGTGGTGTATGGAAACTACGTACCGGCAAAGCAAAAGAAATTATGTATACAACAGAAGTTGCTTAAAGCAGTCAAGTGAAACGGAAAAGGAGTCATAAACCGAATAACATACCAAAGAGCGACAGCGCATATAGCAAACTTCCCTTCAACAAGGTTGACGCCAGGTTACCGATGGAGCGTATGCCATTAGAACGTAGTAGTATTGAACGATACATTGCAAGAGTGATCACTGCTGCACATAATTCATCAGTAGAGCTAACTCGAGGCAGCGTTCTGAATCGCCCACCGAGTTCAAACAGCGCTGCACTGATAAACTTGCCCATAATCAGGTGTTCCACTTTCATAGCCTCAAAAATGCTCAGGGTCGATGCGGGAACGCATACGCTTTCGAGCAGAAACCCCCCAAGCACATCGCAAACGGCCATGGAGATAACCATAAGCTTGAAGCCGCATTAAATCGCCACTCGGGACAACAAAGAAGTCAAAACGTTTACCGAGTAGCTCGCCAATAAAAACTAGCTTTATCTTCCTGTCATTATGTCATAAGGCGAGTATACGCATGAGAAGTAGACCTGAAAGATAATAAAAAAATCTTGTTGATATAAACAAGCTAACCTTCTGCAGAAAACATGATAAGAAACAAGGATGCTGGGATGTATTAGCTGACGTAGAACTAGCATTGCGAGGTGACCTACCCCCACTAGTTCGATATGATTCCAAGCACTGTATTACTTAGCATCAACATACGTCGAGTCTGGTTCAGAGAGAGTTCATGCCGTTTCAACTGATTGTCGCTTAAGAGTGACTGGCAGACCACTGTCACTGAGAATCTTTCCCCAATAATGAAGTACATTGCTCACCATATATTTCGCTGATGATCCATACTACGGGAGCATATCTAGTCAGGATAAACATGACAATCGCAATGCTCCAGTAGCTCATGCTGCTAAACAGACGGACTTCATGTTCAAAAGTCAAAAAATAATCGAGTATCTAATGAATACGATAAAGTCTCGGCATCCACTCGCGAGAAGAGTACGTGCTTAACTCACCCAAATCGCGGCCGGTGCAACTTTTTCAGTGTTTTGAGCACAAAGTAGAATGGGGGGGGGGGGCAAACCAACAACAAACCTCGAAGATACTGTAAACGAAGCACGAGAGTTAGTTCTGAGAATGAAAGATCAGGTGTGAAGTGTTCATGCCTTGACCGTCTGTCGTGTGTGCAGCAAAACCATGTGTAAAGTATGTGCGTGGCACTGCGTGCGTGAACTGGTCCGTAGACTGGGTGGGTGACGGTGGCCAGAAGGTGTTATGATAAGTTCTGGTGTCAGTATGTGAGCTCCGGATCCGAAGTCCAACTGCGCGAGCCTCGCATATAAGAGTCTTCTTCCGTCCGACTCAGTCAGATGCGCGTCATTAAGATTCATTAATGCCGTGCATCAAGAAGATCTTCCAAGCGTTCAAAGACCGGGCTACGCACTCCGATGACCTGATTTCTGATGTGATAGAACGTGCAGGTGCAGTATACATATCATCATCGAATCAACTTGAAGTACTTGTACTCAGCGTGAGTCGCTAATTCGTACCAAATATATATGATTACGTCAAAGTAACTTGGTTACCTTATGTAAACCGGCGTCGAGCGCAGCATCATTACAGGCCTACCATGTAGGACCATGTACCCCATAATATTGTGGCACTCACCTCTCGCTCACTTCCTGGTACACTTTCGACAAACTCTGTTATCAGAAGTTTAGTTGTACTGATCAAGTTTAGAACTTTACTCTGCGCTTCTAGCAGCAAACATTTGTCTTCGGACAGCTCCGCCACATTCAATACGTTCTACTATTTTTGATTCCATTTCTAACAATCTCGGCTCATCCATCCTTGCAGGTATGCTGCGGCAGAGCTGGTGATGGAATATCAGAAGGTGAATGACTATCGTGGGTTTCTGTTGTCATGAAGATGTACTTACTCTCTTATAGCATTCAACATGTCTGGTAGCGCAATGAGATCATGTCCTTGTGCGAGGGAAATCAGTCTGTATCCACTGAGTACTAGATTCGAAAACATTATCAATGCACTGGCATTGGAGGACTTTACTGTCATCCACCTCCTTGAAGCAGAACAAGCGCTTACTGTTTTGAAGGCTCATCAGTCGGAACTCCTTCACGAATACAAGACAAGCGTTGTCATGGACTTCACAGTCTGGAACTGACACTGGTCATGCGAAGTTGATAAATGGCCATCTGTGTATCATCTGTGTCACACCAACGATTTCTGGTTCCGCCTACAATGACCGTTTACGTCATGTCTCATTGGTATGCATAGTCCCTGTGGTCATCTATGCGAGCGATGTGCTGTAGGACGAAAGACTAAAGGCACAATTAAGTGCGGTCACGCGGAGCCGAAGGAGCAATACTTGATTCAGTTTTCTAACAAGCATCTTCCTCATATCGGATCTAGCCCATACTTCCAAGATGATCCAAAAAGGTCGAGGATAGCCTGCCTCTCAGTTGGTCATTAGGCTCTTGCAACCCAATGGTGCATGAGAATGAGGCTCAGATTGACAGGCTTTTATCGTCTGTGCGTCAACTTATCTTTTAAAAATAATCGAATGTTCTTCAACCAACAGAGTCCAGTTCAATTCTTTCCCATAATCAACCGAAGCATGCAATTTGTGAATTTGTGGATGCAGATAACTCGACTAGGATCTTCGGCACCGGCACTAATTCGGGGGCGCGTTAGCAATGCGCAATTGGTCCTCAAATTTCGGCACCAGCTTTGTAAACCGCGTTATTAGTATTTGTTGTGCTAATACGATCCGCCAAGCCCCCAAAAAATGCTCCCTGAATGTCCCAGTTTTTTAGAGCGTAACACTGCAGGAACGCGGTTTGACCACATGAGTGCCGTCCAGCTACAAAACAATGATCTGATGTACTTGAGTCTTGTGAAGTGCGATTTCACATCGGCATTAGCAGGACATTAGCCCGGGGTCCTGATGCACAACAATAACATCGGCATTAGAGGTAGAGCATATCAGTGGGGGAGCCTGCGGAGATCCGTGCGGTTCGTTCCAACCCCGTCGTCCGAAATATGTAAGGTCTGCCTTCCGCACTGCCCTGAAACCTCCTCTCTCACAAAGGTCGACAAGCTTGTGGACTTCACGCTAAGTACAATTACTTTGCATCAAGGATGTGGTTAAGCGATACATGCACTTACATACAACCACTCCAGTTCCGAGCAAGCCATCAACCCAAGTCGGCCGAAGGATAGTGATCATGATGCAGAAATTACGGAGACCATCGATCACCCGAGAACAGGTCTAAGGGCGGGTCACTGGGGATCGACGTCCACAATACCCGATGATGCAAAGCGCGCACACAGACGGATGGTATCCGAGCTTAAAACCAACGACATACAAGCGCTTGTCGACAACAGCAGGCGCAGTAAAGTTTGGAACTGGGGATCAAGAAAACACGCACAGCAAGCCGGTTATAAACGATGGAATGAGTAATCTGAGACAGAAAGGTATCAAGGGGTAAGACTAATAAGTATCGGCGCTACATAGCGATGTCAACTTTGAGTCACAGTCACAGCGGCGACAGGCAGGTAAATGTCAGTACACACTGTAAGATAAGGCCTGATAAGCACATCCAATAGAGATCGACCGTGTGGGATATTGTCACTGATCTGTAGACTGTAGGTGAGTACTGTCGCAGGGTGTCATCCGTCGCAGAAATATAGTCCGTAAATGTCCGATGCAAAACCTCGAAGATTCCCTCGAATCCTAGTAATGATTGTGATAGATCCATGCTCAGGACCACACTAACATTTGATGAACATCGGCCTGGACTTGAACAGTCGGATGATAAGTACCTTAGATCGGCAACTGTATAACAAGCATGTTCATGTTCAAATGCCGAGCGTTCATTATTCGCATGCGGCGCCCTCGGAGTACGTAAATCATTAACATAATCGTCCAACTTGAATCGTCGAGACTCGAAATGATCCAATCCTTCGGTATGTCGCTCGTCTATCGCAACTGGTAGTCCACTAGTGCATGGTTAGCAGTCTTCTGGGAGGTACTAAGCCGTAGTAGCACAGCGTAATCTGCTCACTATCACCGAGTATATTGTACCTCCATTAGTTTTCTGAGCTATGTGTAATTTTCACGTACGGTGACATGGTTAAGCCTGGCCAAGCTTCATTCCACGAAATCATACCTTATTCCTGCGGACCCAGTGGAGTTAAAACGGGTCATGAGGATGATGAACTCCAATTATAAGAGGGAGAATGAACGGAGAAGAGGCTCGAAGAGGTATCGCTCTCTTTCCAGTCGTAAAGTCGGTCCTTCTGCTTGATCTTGGCATGTTCGAACAGATGGTCAAGGCTCGATTTTGACTAGTCGTATGTCTTTCAATACCCGAAAGTGGATTGTGGCTGTGCAGGAACCGAAATAAAGATTTGTGGGGTTGTCGGATGTCCGCGTGTTATAAGCAAGGGGCGATTGATCAATACCACCATCTCCCGCCCATCATCAGCCATCATCATGTCTGAAGATACTGTTCCAATCCATCCTGTTGCTCCCCGCCTCAAGGCTGGCATAAAAGTTCCTCACATCGGTCCCGATCTTGCAGCATACAAGTCTTCTCATGCGCAAACTCTCGGCCACGAGTCCGATGCTTGGTGGAGAAAGGCTAGTTCGCGTATTCACTTCTTTTTATGTCGCGCGTATTGATGGATGCATTAGATGGCCCATGATACGTTGCACTGGGACCGTCCATTCAAGACTGTGCGTGCCGGTGGTTTTGAAACCGGTGATATCGTCTGGTTCCCAGAGGGTGGTCTCAATGCATCTTACAACTGTGTCGATCGCTGGGCGTTTAAACACCCAAACAAAGTAAGAACTGCCCTTCTTACATATCGAAATTCCGTAACCTTATACTATCTATCAGACCGCCATTATCTACGAGGCAGATGAGCCCGAAGATGGTCGCCTCGTCACTTATGCGGAGCTGCTCCGCGAAGTCTGCTCTATTGCAAACGTCCTGAAAGCTCTTGGTGTTAAGAAGGGCGATACCGTTTCTGTATATCTACCAATGACCTGGCAATCCGTTGCTGCTTTCCTCGCTTGCGCGCGGATTGGTGCCGTTCACTCTGTAGTCTTCGCTGGCTTTAGCGCAGAATCTCTCCGTGACCGTGTTCAAGATTGCAAGTCGCGTGTTGTCCTTACCAGTGACGAGGGCAGGCGTGGCGGCAAGTCAATCGCAACCAAAGCAATTGTTGACGCTGCTCTCAAGGAATGCCCTGGCGTTGAACATGTCCTTGTTCTCAGGCGCACCGGCGGCCAGGTGCCGTGGGTCGATGGCAGAGACAAGTGGTGGCACGAGGAAACTGCCAAAGTCCCTAATTACTGCCCACCTGAGGTCATGTCCTCAGAAGACCCGCTCTTCATTCTCTACGTCAGTGTCTTCCTTTCCGTGTATCTTTGCCTGGTCTTGATTTTCGATCTATGTTTAGACTTCTGGATCCACGGGAAAACCCAAGGGTGTCGTTCATACCACCGGCGGATACCTCCTTTGCGCCGCCCTTACTGTAAAATACGTTTTCGATGTCCACCCAGATGACAAGTTCGCCTGCATGGCTGATATCGGTTGGATTACTGGACATACCTACATTGTTTATGGACCACTCGCAAATGGAGTCAGCACTACCGTTTTTGAATCAACTCCAGTTTACCCCACACCATCCCGCTACTGGCAGACCGTCCAGAAGCACCAGCTTACCCAGTTCTATTCTGCTCCTACTGCCATTCGCCTCCTTCGCAGACTCGGCGCTCAGCACGTGGAGAACCACGATCTCAGCAGCTTGCGTGTCCTTGGCTCTGTCGGTGAACCTATTAACCCCGAAGCCTGGAACTGGTACAACGAACATGTCGGCAAGAAGCAGTGCGCTATCGTTGACACGTTCTGGTAAGTGAATTCACGAAGTATCTGTGACCGTGCTCAATATACTGTTCAAGGCAAACTGAGACTGGATCGATCGTCGTCACCCCATTCCCTGGTGCGATTGAGACTAAGCCTGGTTCTGCAACTGTTCCCTTCTTCGGTATCGAAACTGCTATCCTGGACCCTGTTAGTGGAAAGGTACTCATATCAATGCAATTTGTTTAATTATGATACTGACAATGTTTCACAGGAATTGGAAGGAAACAATGTCGAAGGAGTTCTCGTGATCAAGCAACCTTGGCCTTCAATTGCCCGCTCTGTATACAACGACCACAACCGTTACCTGGAGACGTACATGAAGCCATACGCTGGAGTTTTCTACACGGGAGATGGTGCCGCACGCGATGAACACGGTTACATTTGGATCAAGGGTCGTATTGATGGTGAGGATGTCCTTTGGAAGATGTCCCGCCTGTAATGACCATTCTGTAGATGTTATCAATGTCTCTGGACACCGTTTGTCAACTGCTGAGATCGAGTCCGCCTTGATTATGCACAAGGGTGTTGCCGAGACTGCAGTCATCGGTACTGCTGACGAGTTGACGGGACAGGCTGTATTTGCCTTCGTCACACTTAAACCGTGAGTTGTTTTGTCCTATTTTTGTACGATGATTGACTGTAGATACACCAGGGAATTCACGTACGACCACAATGACGAGGCTTCCCTGGCTAAGGAGCTCGTACTCCAAGTGAGGAAGGTGATTGGCCCCTTCGCGGCACCTAAAAAGATCTTCATCGTCAGTGATCTGCCCAAGACCCGCTCCGGAAAGGCAAGTTCAGGCCTGTATCCTCCTTAACGATCATTTAATGACTCATGTTAACCTAGATCATGCGTCGCATCATGCGCAAGATCGTCGCTGGCGAAGGTGATCAGCTCGGTGATCTCAGCACTGTCGCTGAGCCTGGTGTGGTTGATGTCATCAAGAAGAAGGTTGCGGAGAGTACGTAAATTCGATAATGGGAAGCATGCAAGTGTTCAAGTTCGGAAACCGTTGTTGTACTATCAATGTACTTTTCCGCTTTTATGTCCTTCATACCATACGTGATTAATACTTTGTACAAGGTAGATGAGTAAACGTTGCAACATAGGGATGGATTCCGCAGCTAATCTACCAGCTATTGCTGAATGAGTCTGTCAGCGTTTTGCTCACTAGGCTCCATCATTATTCTTCAGACCACCCTCTTTGGTTGTACTGCGACTTAAGCGTGAAGATCAGATGTTCGGGACAATGCTAAACTGATGTACATTGGAGACAGAAACCATATTTAACTCAGGTTGGTATCAAAAATGCGCCAATAGTCTTGAAATAGTACTCCTTATCTTCGTAGAACGGAATGTGGGTTTTCTTGAACTTCACCCATTTCACCTTCGGTATCTTCTCGATGAAAGGCTTAATCACAAAATCCTGTGCACCCTCCTCTTGACCATTGCAAACGAGCGTCGGACAAGAAATTCTGTCAAGGCGATCGGTAATATCCCAAGTGATCATCGACCCCGTGAGGTTGAACTCGGAAGTTCCGAGCCTGATCGTGCTTAGAGTGAGCACACACTGATAAGCCATTAGTCGCACGTTGGCGTACTCACATGGTGGTATACACAGTAGGATTTTCATCCATATCCGCAAAAGATTGATCAAGCTCTGCCGGCCAAGGGATCGCTTGGCAGACGTGCTTGTTATAGAACTCCTTCATCCCTCGTTGATACTCCTCTGATGCGGTCGTCCCGTCCCTCTCATGCCTTCTCAACATCTCTCTGAAATCCTCCGGAAATTTGTTCAGCCAATAGTGCATGCTCTGTTCCCAGAGCTTAAGTGATGGAGGAGCATTAGCGATGATGAGGCGGCGAAGACCAGGGCGTTGCTGCGCTGATGCATAGTCAGCTGCCAACATCCCTCCCCAGGAATGACCCAGAAGGTCAAAATCGTCTTTGATTCCAAGGTGCGCGAGGAGGTTATCGAGCTCATCGATGAACAGCTCTGGCGTCCAGAAATCGGCGCCCTTGTCGGTGATATGGGTAGACCTCCCAGTGCCTAACTGGTCGTAGAAAACAACAGGAATGGTATATGTCGTAAAGATCTCTGCGTGCGACTGCATGTACACATGAGACATGCCTGGGCCACCGTGAAGAGTGACAAGAGGTCGAATGCCAGGTCCCAAGTCTCCGACGACCTTGTACCAGGTCTTGTAAGTCTCTTTTCCGACTCGGAAATCGACAGCTCCTGTGACTTCAGTCATAATATACGAATGTTGTATGGAGGCGGGGACAGGGAGGCTAGTGAAGTGAATTCAAGTTGGTAATAAAAGCCACCCACATCTCTAGCATGGGAACTCATCAATTGAACAAGCACATGTCCCAGGTGAACTCATAATACCCATTATCGAAACCGATTACCTTCGGGCCGCCCGGGCAGCATTAAAGCAGACGACAGCAATACTAGCGTGATCAAAATAGAGCTACACTACCAGTGTACCGTATGCAATGAACCTTTAAACTACCCGCTGTGTGTGCTGTGTGAAACCGAAGCCAAACGACCCCGCAATATCTAAAAACGCCCCGCTGCTGCTGCAGTCCCCTGTTTCTTGAATCTACTTTGGGAGGCGCATTGAGCATACTCTTCTCTCCATTTGTTTCGGTACTTCATTCCTTATCCTATGATAGCTCCATGCTCTCAAAAGCATGCCAACCAGCTACCTTTCTAACATGACATACGCTCAACCAATTCGAATGCAATGTTATGTATGCATACAACAGACTATGAATTAACTATACACTGGATATCGCACTCGAAAAAGTGTCTCTGACATCTACCGTAAATTAATTGTACTGGAACAAGATCATCGTAATCAAGAGCTACAAGGATCGAATTGATTAACTGCGAAGAACGGAAAGGGCTGGAGACTCACTCCTCGTAGCAGTGCTGCCAGCGTGTCCCGTGTGCCATGCGGCTCAAATCCAGATCTGGACCTCCCCTAGGTAACACTAATGCAGTCTGAGGAGTATAAAGTAGTGTTCGAGAAGCGGGTGGTACCCAAAATAAGAGCCGACGATTGGGTCCTAACACCCATCCATCGTCTCCCAGACAAAATGTGTGATCGTCATGGGGGTTGCCTGCGAGTAGCTCAGCAGTGTCGCACAGTGCATGTATCATCGGGATTGATGAGAAGGAAATAAAGTCATTGTTTGCAGTGTTGGGTGTGGGGATGGCCGCTATTGAATATGGAATCCAATTACCATGCGGGAAGTATGCTGAACGGTCTTCTTCAGCGTAATCCTGCAACAACTTCCCAACCGCTGCATGCCAGACCCGAACAGTCCCATCCCATGAACCAGAAATGATGCGAGTCCCATCCTGCGAGAAAGAGACTGAGTTGACCAAGTTAGTGTGCCCCCGCAAGGGCTGACCAATTGGCTGCCCAGTTGTTGCATCCCACAGTCGGACAGTTTTATCTCCAGAACCAGTCGCGATGCGAGTTCCATCCGGAGAGAACGAGACCGATAAGACATAACCAGTGTACCACAGCAAGGGCTCACCGACTGGCTGCCCTGTAGCTGCATCCCACAGTCGGACAGTCTGATCGTCCGAACATGTCACGATGCGACTCCCGTCTGGCGAGAACGAAACTGACCTAACCCAATCAGCGTGCCCCTTCAAGGGCTTACAGACAGGCTCCCCCATCGCTGTATCCCACAACAGGATAGTCTTATCAGCCGAACCAGATGCGATGCGAGTCCCATCCGGAGAGAATGAGACTGATATAATTGGTTTAGTGTGCCCTCGCAAGGGCTCACCAACTGGCCGTCCCGTCCCTGCACCCCACAGCCGGACCGTCTCATCGTTCGAACCAGAAACAATGTAAGTCCCATCCGGTGAGAACGACACTGAGGTAACTATGTCAGTGTGCCCCCGTAAGGGCTCACCAATTGGCTGCCACGTTGCTGTATTCCATAGCCGGACTGTCTTATCCGCAGAACATGTCGCGATGCGAGTCCCATCCGAAGAGAATGAGAGTGAGTAGACCGAGCCGGTGTGCCCCAGTAAGGGCTCACCAACTGGCTGCCCTGTCGCTGCATCCAACAACCGGACAATGCCATCCTCTGAACCAGTCGCGATGCGGGTCCCATCCAGTGATAGCGAGACTGATCTAATTGAATCAGTCTGCCCTCGCAAGGGCTGCACCAACTGGTTGCCCTGTAGCTGCATTCCACAATCGGACAGTGTTATCTCGAGAACCAGTCGCGATACGAGTCCCGTCTGGGGAGAACGAAACTGAGAAGACATGACCAGTGTGCCCCAGCAAGAGCCCACCGACTGGCTTCCCTGTAGCTGCATCCCACAGTCGGACAGTCTCATCCTCCGAACCTGTCACAATGCGATTTCCGTCCGGCGAGAATGAAACTGACGTAACGTAGTCAGTATGCCCCCCCAAGGGCTCACAGACAGGCTTCCCCAACATTGTGTCCCACAGCCTGACAGTCGAATCGTCCGAAACAGATGCGATGCGAGTCCCATCCGGAGAGAACGAGACTGATCTGACAAAATCGGTGTGCCCTTCCAAGGGCTCACCGGCTGGCTGTCCCGTTGCTACTTCCCACAGCCGGACAGTCTTATCACGTGAACCAGAAACGACGCGAGTCTCATCCGGCGAGAACGACACTGAGGTAACTGAAGAAGTGTGCCCCCGTAATGGTTCACCGATTGGCTGCAGCGTTGCTGCATTCCACAGCCGGACTGTCTTATCGTCCGAACCTGTCACGATGCGAGATCCGCTTGGCGAAAACGAGACCGAGTTAACCGACTCAGCATGCCCGAATAAGGGTTCACCAATGGGCTGGCATGTTGCTACATGCCACAGCCGTATAGTGTTATCAAATGAGCCAGACACGATGCGTGTCCCATCCGGCGAGAAAGAAACTGAGGTAACTGAAGAAGTGTGCCCCAGCAAGAGCTTGCCTACTGGCTGCCCAGTCGCTGCATCCCACAGCCGCACGGTGCAATCATCCGATCCAGTCGCAATGCGAGTCCCATCGGGCGAGAACGAGACTGAGGAAACATAGCTAGTGTGCCCGGTGATCACAGTTTGAACGGCTGTCCAGTTGATATCACGTCCAGATGCCACACGAAGAGAATTAGGAAACCGTGCAGAAAACGTTCTGGATAGTGCAGAGTTGACGGGCGAGAATGGCAGTGCTGATACATAGAGATGCGACGTGCTGAGCAAGATGATGCCGCCGAAGACTTGAATAAATCTCTGCACGTCCGTTGCAGCGGATGATGCATCTTTGTACCCGGTGCGACCCTGCAATTGCGATCGCGCGTGAGTGTGCATCTAATCCGACACTCAATAAACATGTGCTCACCTTCAACCACTTGGTAATAAGTGGAAGGGCGGTTACTGCACCGCTGAGCGCATCCATAAGGCCAAGTGCCTCAAGCCAGAATAACAGTCGCTCATGCTTGAAGAATAATTTTATTTGTTTGGCGAGTTTTGGGTCGAAATGAGTTGTTTGCACGTGGACAGGCCAAAATCGACAGGCATAGGATAAATGTGGGGGGATGCATTTTTTAACTCGTTCTCGCAGCCCAGGATCTTCAGAGTTGGGAAGATATGATGATGTTATATCACAGATATTGAAGGAAAGACCATGTTCCATCACTCGAAGTGATGCGAACGCAAGGTCGTGTTGTACTTTTGACACATCAATGAAGAACACTCCGCTGTGTGATTGGTCCGTCAGGAAATCGCGAAAGGACGCATGAAGGGGTCGGATTGGGGTAGATGTGTTTGTGGTGCCACTGAGGAGGGATCCCATATGTTCTACTATGACCGCCACATCGTAACGCTCGTTTTCATCTAGAAAATGACTCCGTATGGTATTCAGGGAGTTCAAAGGGAGAGGTTCAGCTGTGCAAAGAATCTGTCCCATCACCGAACGAAATCTCGCTAGCTGCGTTTGCTGAAACTCGGGGTTTGCGTGTTTATCCTTTCGCATGATCTCCGTAAGAATGATGTCGTACATATCGTACAATAAATGCTCTCGTTTGACAGGATCGCGGGACACCATAACATTGAAGGACTGATCGCAGGATAAGCCAGGCGGGGGTGCTTCGATGGATTCGCAAGCAAGACGTGCCCACTCGAAAAGACCATCAGCTTTCTTGGCGAGGGCTATAAACTCTTCGCGCCCAAATTGCGAAAGCCCTTCCAGCTTCTTCGACACGTAAGCGAAGATATCGCGTTCCGCGACTTCTGGTGGAATGTCGTCCATGGAAATCCTTCGAATGTGTTGAGCGCCCGCAAACGCATGCTGAATGTCGCGAAGCGGGCGAGAAGTAACGATAAACCGGAAGTTCTTTGGGAGCTCCGTGATTTTGGGAACAGCAGAGTTCTGAAGTTTACCAGAAAGAATGCGAAGAAGGTCGGATCGTGTCTTGGCCGCGCCACTCTCGTCCAGTGCGTCGATCACGATCACGACAGGGCCCACAGTTGACTCTGAGAGCTTCTGTAGCGGCTCCATCAGAAACTTCTGCCATTGCTGGATGATATCAGCTGTAGTCTTGAGCGCACTGGCATGCTGAACTGTATCTGCCAAGGCTCGCCTCATCCCTGAATCACGGTCAGCCAGGTCGCACGCGACAGTAGAAAATATCTTCTCATGGCGACGGTCTGCTTCTCGATCTCGGTCGAAGCAATAACATGAACCAAGCCCTCCCGCATCGCTGAACCACTTAGCAATTGTGTGGGCGATGGCTGATTTGCCCTTGCCTGCCGGGCCAGATAGCCACAGCACGCGTGGAACGTCGTCTCCAGTGCTGTTGACCCAATCTGTGATCTGGGAGAGTATTTCCGTGCGTGTCCCTTGGAGGCATTGTTTCCTGGTGTCTAGCCCTGCGTTCGCTGCATAAGTAATACCACTGAGGCCCAGTAGTTCCCCTGAAGAGGAATGAATAGTTGTTGCGTCAGACACAAGTACAATCCTTACCTGTACGGTGGGTGTAAATGGCTACATCTCGAGCAACTTGGTCCCGGAAGTTTTGCATGAGCGCATCTAACACATCACTGTACTGTTGAATTTCGTTGTTTGTTTCAGTGAAAATGTCTTTCCCGAGTCTCTTCCCTGTTATGATAGCAGAAGACTGAGCGTGTGGAACGTGCAACAGCTTAAAGACTTACAGAAGCTCTTGGTCTCTGAATAATCTCTGATGAAGCGGGCGCATTCAAGGGTCTGCTGAGAGATCTGTCCAAGGATACCGCGCATCGATGAAACCTGGCCAAGCGTCTCGTCCTGTATCATGAAGGCGTAAACTTGATCCAACTTGTCGATAAGACGATGTACTGCTTGGTCGCGATCCGATTGGGCGATGACCATCTACCCCAATGGCTGCTCAGCAGGAGATAGAAGCGAGGGAGTGACGAAACGTACTTCTGATGCAGAAGATAGCACGCCCAGTGCAATCTTCGCATATGGATGTACCTATAGAACGGAATTAGTTCAGTTCCAACTTCCAACCGAAAGGAATGGCTCATACATCTGCGAGCGTCCCAATAATTGTGTTGAATATCCTGAGGGGTTGGAGATATGTTTCCTGGAAATTATATGCAGCCCCGAGATCCGCTGACGAATGTTGGGCGGTAGATACTCCAGATGACATGTGTCCCGAAAGTGGCTTCATGAGTTTCAAGACCTCTTTGGCGTTTTGAAGTACCGATTGGGGATTGGTGCTTTGTTCCGCACCAGAGGGAGCATCCTGAACCTGCGTGGTCAGTAGAGTTTAGAGGGAGCATAAACCAAAAGGTGACCTACCTTGATATCCGGAATCGATGAGGCACCTTCACAATCAACGTTTGGAAGAACAGGGTCGCAGCCGCGGGAATCTTTGAATGCTTTGCACGATCACATGAGCTTTGTTCCAGGAAACTCAGGACCCTGTCGACTCACAGAAATCTTTTTAGTGGAATTCTTAACCTTCCCTAGAAACCGACGAATTTTGCCATGGCGTCTGCCCTGCATGAAGGACACATCAGAGTTAATGGTTCAAGTGAAATGAGAAGTGGCCCTCATCAGAAACATACCGAACTTTCACCAGTGGTTGCTTCACTGGATATGCGGTTGTCAGGAGGAGGATCTTGCCTTGAGTTCTTTGATTGATTGCGTTTACTCATCGTTTGAGTTGACTCGGAGGATCAGTCTGAACGAAGTAAGGTGGGATAAGTAGTTAGAGAAAGGGTGGGTCCCCGGGCCCGACTCCCCGCTTCTGGATCAGCATTTATACAACAGGTCATATCATTGGCTGCAAGCACCAGGCCTCAAGGGCCAAGGGAATATTTGCTGTTGTATTGACTGGGCGCCTCTTCGGAACTCCGGGAAATGCGAAAGAGCGAATACCCGTCTGCCTCGAGAGTATGAAAAACGTCGTGCTGATCGCAGACATGCTATTGAGTGATGTACGCATGCAAGACTTGAGTGGCCTTGAAGTTGGTCGAGAAGAAAATTTCTGCAACTAACGGCCTGGTCTACTCACCCGTACCTTGCCGCTTGAGCTTAGCTTGAATGTCAAACTGCATACGCAAATAGAGTGACTTACCGCTTTCTCAGGCTCGCTGTTGATCTGACGCGTTACACTGCCAGATCATATCGTGGCCGGGATCGCAGTCTCCAACTTTCTAACAATCCAACAAGTCACTTCCTCCCTCTCTCTCTGGTCTCCCCTAGCTAGATAAACAATAAATGAATGAATCCAGTCGTTTGATCAGGGCTCCTTACAAAGTGAATCTTGGGAGAATCGAACTAGATGAAGCCGGACTTTGAAAACACATTGAGCTAGAGCCTCGCCGATCGTCGGACATGATACCGCACCACAGCTCGAGCTCAAGGATGTACCCTTAAGGCTTTGCCACACGGTGTCAACGTCTACCTATCCGATATCCATCGGAAATTTACAACGAAGTAAATGCTTCGTGTGCTGAAGCCGAGGGCGTGCCAAAGGCGGAAGCGGCCAACTTCGCCCTCCATCCCCCCAATTATACCCTCTCTCAAGTTCCTCCAACATCAATGGTATTTCGGCCAACGAAGAACATCCGTTCACTCTCCAAACATTCTACGAGTTTCTCCCCCGCCCATCATTCGAAACCAAACACGTCAATGAATTTGGTCTACCTGGGTACATAAACACCCAAGTTGTCAACTCTAGAACGATATCTGCATGGCATGACTCACTTGCCAGTAGGGTACTATATCGTTGTCGTGCAGGGTTTTGATCGGAGGTCGCGCTACTTTTAACACATGTGGTAGCACGAGGAGACTGCTAAAGTCCCTAATTACTGCCCACTTGACATAATGTCCTCATAAGACCTGCTCTTCATTCTCTACGTCAGTGGCTGGCTTCCTTTCCATATATTTTTATCTGGTCTTGATTTTCGATCTATGTTTAGACTTCTGGTTCCACAGGAAAACCCAAGGGTGTCGTTTATACCATTGGCGGATACCTCCTTTGCGTCGCCCTTACTGTGAAATATGTTTTCGACATCGACCCAGATGGCAAGTTCGCCTGCATGGCTGATATCGGTTGGATTACTGGACATACCTACATTGTTTATGGACCACTCGCAAATGGAGTCAGCACCACCGTCTTTGAATCAACTCCAGTTTACCCCACGCCATCCCGCTACTGGCAGACCGTCCAGAAGCACCAGCTTACCCAGTTCTATTCTGCTCCTACTGCCATTCGCCTCCTTCGCAGACTCGGCGCTCAGCACGTGGAGAACCATGATCTTAGCAGTTTGCGTGTCCTTGGCTCTGTCGGTGAGCCTATTAACCCCGAAGCATGGAACTGGTACAACGAACATGTCGGCAAGAAGCAGTGCGCTATCGTGGATACGTTCTGGTAAGTGCATTCACGAAGTATCTGTGACCGTGCTCAATATGCTGTTCAAGGCAAACTGAGACTGGATCGATCGTCGTTACCCCATTCCCTGGTGCGATTGAGACTAAGCCTCATTCTGCAACTGTTCCCTTCTTCGGTATTGAGTCCGCTATCCCGAGCCCTGTTAGTAGAAAGGTACTCCAATTAATGCAATTTGTTCGATTATGATACTGACAATGTTTTACAGGAATTAGAAGGAAACAACTTCCCGTCATCAAGCAGCCTTGGCCTTCAATCGCCCGTTCTGTATACAACGACCACAACCGTTACCTGGAGACTTACATGAAGCCATACGCTGGAGCCTGCTACAAGGGGAACGGCGCCGCTACAACTGCTGAGATCGAATCTGCCTTGATCATGCACAAGGGTGTCGCCGAAACTATAGTCATTGGTACTGCTGACGAGTTGACGGGACAGGCCGTATTTGCCTTCGTCACACTTAAACCGTCAGTCTTTTCTTGTCCTTTTGTTGAATGACGGTTGACTCTACTATGTAGACATACCAGGGAATTCACGTATGACCACAATGATGAGGCTTCCCTGGCTAAGGAGCTCGTGCCCCAAGTTAGGAAGGTGATTAGTCCCTTCGCGGCACCTAGAAGATCTTCATCGTCAGTGATGCAAGTCCAGGCCTGCGTCTTCCTCGACGATCATTTAATGACTCATGTCGATGCAGATCATGCATAAGATCGTCGCTGGCGAAGGTGATCATCTCAGTGATTTCAGCACTATTGCTGAACCTGTCGTGGTTGATATCATCAAGAAGAAGATTGCAAAGAGTACATAAAATCGATAACGAGAAGCATACAAGTGTTCGGAAACTGTCATACCGTGACTATCAATGTACTTTTCCGCTTTTATGTCCCTCATACTATATGTAGTTAACCAGTAGATGTTGCAGTATAGGAATGGTTTCGCGCGTCAGATAAGGTTGGCGGTTGGCGGTTGGCGAGGGGTCTGGTTGTGAGCCTCTGACAGAAGTTCACACGCCCTGGATTTACAACAGGTCTGGATCTTTCTTCAACTTCACTTTGCGTTTCTTCCAGCCTTGCGATAATTGACCCGCGCCTTGGGGCCAACATGTTAACACCGAAATGAGCCACTGATTGGGGAGTCTCCTAATTTCCAGACAGAAATTCGGTCTGTGTGCTGACAAGATGCAGAGGCCGAGCAGTTCAGTTCCTGCAACTGCATATTGATCCTTCTTCCTGTCATCTACTCGTCATTCCCACCAACCGATCATCGGAGATTTTCCAAGGAGGACGAGTCCATTGCCATACTAGGACGATCTGGTATGTCTTCTCAATGTTATACTCCTTAATGAAGGTCGTCCCTCACGTTACTTTGCTCGTCCCAGGCCCTCATCCATTTTTGTTCTTCAATGAAGCTTAAACTTCGTATGTTCTTGCATCCCTCACGTGTCGCATATCTTTGCACGCATCATTCTCATGGTGCTCTTGTTGTTACCATACACATGTTGTACTGTACACAATGAATTACGCTCCTTCCTATTGACCAAGTTCTCTCAACACTTAAACCCGTGTGTGCTGTGTATAACTGAAGCCAAATGACCCCACAATATCCAAACACGCCCCCGCTGCTGCTGCAATCTTCCATTTATTCATTCCACTTTGGGAGGCCATTGAACACACTTCTCTCCATTCGTTTCGCTTGACAGTATCTTGGATGACTTCATTCGTTGCCCTACGATCGTTCTATGCCCTAAAATGTCTGTTACCCAGTCACCTTTCTAACACGATGTTCGCTTAAACCTCCCCAGATTAGCATACAATGCTACATATATACACACAACAGACCGTGATTAACTGTATACTCGATATCGTATTCCACAAAGTGTTTATGGCATCTCCACAAATCAATTTTCTGGAAGATATTCGTAATCAAGAGCTACAAGAATCGAATTTATTAACTGCGAACAACGGAAAGGGCTGGAGACTCACTCCTTATAGCAGTGCTGCCAGTGTGTCCCATGTACCATGCGACTCAAATCAAGCTCAACACATCCTCTCCCAATCACTAATGCAGTTCGAGGATTATAAAATGGTTTTCGAGAAGCAGGTGGTACCCAAAATAAGAGCCGACGATTTGGTCCTAACACCCATCCGTCATCTCTCAGGAAAAATGTGTCGTCGTCATGGGGGGTGCCTGCGAGAAGCTCAGCAGTGTCGCACAGTGCATGTGTTGTCGGGTTTGATGAGAAGGAGATTAAGTTATCGCTCGCAGTGTTGGGTGTGGGGATGGTCGCTGTTGAATGTGGGACACAACTGTCATGCGAGGAGAATGCTGAACTGTCTTCAGCGTGGTCTTGCAATGACTTTCGAATCACTGCATACCAGACTCGAACAGTACCATCATATGAACACGAAACGATGCGAGTCCCATTCCGCGAGAAAGAGACTGAGTTGACCAACCCAGTGTGCCCCCGCAAGGGCTCACCAATCGGCTGTCCCGTCGCTGTATCCCACAGTCGGACAGTATGATCACCAAAACCAGACACGATGTAAGTCCCATCCGGAGAGAACGAGACTGAGAAGACGAGACCACTGTGCCCTAGCAAGGGCTCACCGACTGGCTTCCCTGTAGCTGCATCCTACAGTCGGATAGTCTCATCATCCGAACCTGTCACAATGCGACCCCCGTTCGGCGAGAACGAAACTGACCTAACCCAATCAGCGTGCCCCTTCAAGGGCTCACAAACAGGTTTCCCCAACACTGCATCCCACAGCCGGATGGTCTTATCGTACGAACCAGATACGATGCGAGTCCCATCCGGAGAGAACGAGACTGATGTGACCGAAGAAGTGTGCCCTTCCAAGGGCTCACCGACTGGCTGCCCCGTTCTTGCATCCCACAGTCGGACAATCTTATCGTCCGAACCAGAAACGATGCGAGTCCCATCCAGGGAAAACGAGACTGAGGTAACTTCATCAGTGTGCCCGCGGAAAGGCTCACCCACCAACTTTCCCGTCCTTGAATCCCACAGCCGGACAGTTTTATCTGCAGAACAAGTTGCGATACGAGTCCCATCCGGAGAAAATGAGATTGAGTAAACCGAACCAGTGTGCCCCAGCAAGGGCTCACCAACTGGCTGCCCTGTTGCTGCATCCAACAGCTGGACAGTGCCATCCTTAGAACCGGTCATGACGTGGATTCCATCTGGTGATAGCGAGACTGAGGTAATTTGATTAGTGCGCCCCTTGAAGGGCTCACCAACTGGCTGCTCCGTTTCTACATCCCACAGCCGGACAGTACAATCCCATGAACCAGAAACGATGCGAGTCCCATCCGGCGAGAACGAGACTGATTTAACCTCACCAGTGTGCCCTTTCAAGGGCTCACCAACTGGCTGCCCTGTTCCTACATCCCACAGCCGGACGGTCTTATCGTACGAACCAGATGCGATGCGACTCCCGTCCGGCGAGAACGAAACTGACCTAACGTACCCAGTGTGCCCCTTCAAGGACTCACAGACAGGCTTCCCCAACACTGCATCCCACAGCCGGACAGTATTATCCAAAGAACCAGATGCAATGCGAGTCCCATCTGGAGAGAACGAGACTGATGTGACAACAGAAGTGTGCCCTTCCAAGGGCTCACCGGCTGGCTGTTCCGTTGCCACTTCCCACAACCGGACAGTCATATCACGTGAACCAGAAACGACGCGAGTCTCATCCGGTGAGAACGACACTGAGTTAACCTTATCAGTGTGCCCCCGTAATGGTTTACCGATTGGCTGTAGCGTTGCTGCATTCCACAGCCGGACTGTCTTATCGTCCGAACCTGTCACGATTCGAGTTCCCTTTGGTGAGAACGAGACTGAGTTAACCGACGAAGTGTGCCCCAATAAGGGTTCATCAATGGGCTGCCACATTGCTACATGCCACAACCGGACAGTGTTATCGGCTGAGCCAGACACGATGCGTGTCCCATCCGGTGAGAATGAGACTGAGATAACTTGAGAAGTGTGGCCCAGCAAGGGCTTGCCCACTTGCTTCCCCGTTGCTGCATCCCACAGCCGCACAGTGTGATCGTCCGATCCAGTCGCAATGTGAGTACCATCCGGTGAGAACGACAATGAGTTAACGTCATCGGTGTGTCCGCTGATCACAGTCTGAACAACCGTCCAGTTGATATCACGTCCAGATGCCACACGAAGAGAGTTTGAAAACCGCGCAGAATACGTTCTGGATGGTGCAGAGTTGACGGGCGAGAATGGCAGTGCTGATACATAGAGATGCGGCGTGCTGTGCAAGATGATGCCGCCGAAGACTTGGATAAATCTCTGCACGTCCATTGCAGCGGATGAGGCATCTTCGTATCCGGTGTGACCCTGCAATTGTGATTGCATATTAGTGTGTATGTTATCTAACGCTCAATGACCGTGTACTCACCTTCAACCACTTAGCAATAAGCGGAAGAGCGGGGACAGCGCCGCTGAGTGCGTTCATAAGGCTGAGTACCTCGAGCCAGAAAAACAGTCGCTCATGCTCGAAGAATGATTTAATTTCTTTGGCAAGTTCTGGATCGAAGTGAGTTGTTTGCACGTGGGCAGCCCAAAATCGGCAGGCATAGGATAGGTGTGGAAGGATACATTTTTCAACCCGTTCTTGCAGCCCGGGATCTTCAGAGTTGGGGAGATATGACGATTTTAGATCGCAGATATTGAAGGAAAGTCCACGTTCCATCACTCGAAGTGATGCGATACCAAGGTCGTATTGTGCTTTTGACACGTCGATGAAAAAGTTTCCGCTATGTGATTGGTCCGTCAAGAAATCGCGGAAGGATGCATGAAGGGGCCGGATGTGGGTGGATGAGTTTGTGGTGCCGCTGAGGAGAGATCCCATATGTTCGACCACGACTTGCACTCTGTAATGCTCACTTTTGTCTGGAAAATGCCATCGAATGGCGTTCAGGGACTCCAAAGGGAGGGGTTCAGATGCGCCAAGGATTTGTCCCATCACGGAACGAAATCTCCTTAGCTGTTTCTGCTGAGACGTGGAATTTGTGGTTTTGTCCATTCGCATGATCTCTGTCAAAATGAACTCATACATATCATACAACAAGTGTTCCCGCTCGGCAGGGTTGCGGGACACCACAGCATCGAAGGACTCGACTGGAGATAAGCCAGGAGGCGGTGCTTTGATGGATTTACAAGCAAGACGTGCCCACTCGAAAAGGCCGTCGGCTTTCTTAGCGAGCGCTGCGTACTCTCTGCCCCCAAAATCCGAAAGCTCTTCCAGCTCGTTCGATATGTAAGCGTGGATGTCACCTTCCACGGTGGCTGGTGGAATGTCATCTATGGATATCCGTTCAATATGCCGAGCACCTGCAAGCTCTGCTTCTATATCATGGAGTGGGCGTGAAGTAACGATGATCCGGAAGTTTTTTGGGAGTTTCGTGATGTGGGTGATGGTTGGGTCTCGAATTTTACCGGCGAGAATGCGTAGAAGGTCGCTGCGTGTCTCCACTGCTTTGCCACTTTCGTCCAGTGCGTCAATAATGATCACGACGGGCCCCACGGGTGACTCAGAAAGCTTTCCTAGTGGTTCGATAAGAAGTTTCTGCCACTGCTGTATGACATCCGCTGTAGTCTTAAGCGCGTTTGCATTCTGGACTGCATCTGCTAACGCTCGTCTCATCTCTGGATGACGATCGGCCAGGTCGCGCGCGATAGTGGAGAAAACCATTTTATGGCGATTGTCTGTGTTTCGGTCGAAGCAGTAACAAGAACCAAGCCCACCCACCCCGATGAACGAGCTAGCGATCGTGTGAGCAATGGCTGATTTACCCGTCCCAGCAGGACCAGATAGCCATAGCACGCGTGGAACATCATCTTTGTTGTCGTTGATCCATCCCATGATCTTGGAAAGAATGCCTGTGCGCGTCCCCAGCAGGCATCGCTTCCTAGTATCTAGTCCTGCGCCCTCTGCATAAGCCATACCGCTAAGGTCCAGTATTTCGCCTGAAGAAGTATGAATAAATGTTGAGTCAGGAGCACGTCCAAATGCTTACTTGTACGATGGACATAGATGACTACGTCACGAGTAACTTGGTCCCGGAAGTTTTGCATCAGCACATCCAACACCTTGTTGTACTGTTGTATCGTATCGTCTGTTTCCGAGACGACGTTCTTTCTGAGTCTCTTCCCTATGACAAGAATGAAAAACTGTAAAATGTAACGACTTGTTGGAGACTGACAAAAGTTTTTCTTCTCCGAATAATCCCTGATGAAATGGGCGCATTCAAGGGTCTGCTGAGAGATCTGTCCCAAAATAGTGCTCATCGACGAAATCTTGTGAAGCGTGTCGTCTTGCGTCATGAAGTCGTACACTTGACCCAACTTCTCAAGAAGGCTGAGTAACGATTTGTCGCGATCCGCTTGAGCGAGAATTATCTGCACGCAGAACAACTGAGCAGCAAATATAAATAAGAGCGAATAAAACATACTTTAGATGCGCAAGACAGCACACCCAATGCCATCTTCGCATATGGATGTACCTGCGGAACGGCATTAGTTCAGTTCTGATAAAGAAGAGAGGCTATACCTCTGCAACCTTCCCGATCACGGTGTCAAATATCCTGAGGGGTTGAAGATATGTGGCCTCCACGTTATTCACATCACCGAGAGCTGCTGGTGCATTTTGGCCTGCGGATGCTGCTGATCTCGCAGGTCCAAAAAGTACATTCATCTGATCTGCACCATCGCGGGCATCCTGAAGTGCTGCGTCCACCGACTGGAGATTGGCACCTTGTGTCACGCCAGCAGATTCCTGAACCTGTCCAGCCAGGAGAAGTTAGACAAAGAGAGCAAAAACTGATATGTGACCTACCTCGATATTCGGAACCGATGAGGCACCTTCATGATCAACGTTCGGGAGAACAGGCTCGCGGCTGCGTAAATTATTCTGGTTCGAGCGCTTGTGTACGATCTCAGCCTGATCCTAATACAACTCGATATCTCGACTTACCGAAATCTTCATTACACCATCCTTGACCCTCCTCAGGAACCGACGAACTTTGTCTGGCGGTTGGACCTGAACAGACGGGATATCAGAGTCAGAGTGCGATAGATAAGCGATACACATAGGCAACGTACCGAGCGTCCGTGAGCAACTGCTGTAGTATTTGGAGGAACTGGGCTCGAGGCCCTCGATTGATTGCTGTTGCTCATGGCGAATAGTCAATGATCAGTCTGAACGAAGCAGGCAACGATAGGAATGGGTGGCAACGTCGTTTAAATAGATGATAACAGGTCATACCATCTCGAGGGAATAGTACTTATTTGCTGCTGTGTTGACCTCAACGCTCGAGCGTTAAGATTAGGCAGGCGCCACGGAAGTGAACTCCATAAAATGCCAGGAAGTCGAAGGAATGGCTACAATCTTCATTCATCCGTTTGTCTACGGACGACCGATGTAACCCGTGAGTGCTGTGTGCAAAGCCAAAGCAGTCTCTTTGGGAACACACTTTGGCATCTCGGATGACGTCATTTGTTACC